CCTAAAACGGAGAGCGAGAGGGAGGCAAGATGTTTGCTCACCAAACTGATATGCGAAGCATCACTGTGTGACCCACTTACACTCGACCTGATGCAAATGGCACGTGGAGACTGCCGCAGTTAGACTCAACCTGCTGTATGAGACTGGCACAGTTAGACTCAACCTGCTGTATGAGACTGGCACAGTTAGACTCAACCTGTTGTATGAGACTGGCACAGTTAGACTCAACCTGCTGTATGAGACTGGCACAGTTAGACTCAACCTGCCGTATGAGACTGCCGCAGTTAGACTCAACCTGCTGTATGAGACTGGCACAGTTAGACTCAACCTGCCGTATGAGACTGGCACAGTTAGACTCAACCTGCCGTATGAGACTGGCACAGTTAGACTCAACCTGCCGTATGAGACTGGCACAGTTAGACTCAACCTGCCGTATGAGACTGGCGCAGTTTGGTGTAATGTGCTGCACTAACCTGGGCTTAAACAAGCAATTGAGCTCAGCACAATAAACCTGCTGTAACTAGAATGTGAAATAGGGATTGGTGTTCAACCTACTGTCATTTAGTATAGCACACTAAACAAACGGCCGTGTAAAATAGTTAATTGTGAACATGACTTTATCCATCTGTGTGGGCTCATAACCGACTACTACAACAGTAATATTCTTGCAATGTTACTTAGGCTATATTCAGTAAGCGGCATTCTGGTTCAAACATTTTTGATTGAACACACACACAGGAATGGTGTATAGGTATGAAAGACACGTGTACAGTTCTTATCTAAACATAAGAGAACAGACATGAACAACAAGACCCAGAGTTCTGGGCACAAAACAAATATTACAAAACAAGACACAGAACAGGGACAGGTAGAAAGAAAAAGGGTAGATGTAACTCCCCCACTTATACCCCCCCTTTATCCCCCCCCCCCCCCCCCCCCCCCCCTATTCCACCCTATTCCCCTCCCGACTGCTCGGGTGGTGGGGCCAGCACACGCTGCCCAAAGGTAGATTACAATATGACAATTGAGAGTGCATTAAAAAGTACAAATTCACAGCGCCGACTGGTCCAAGTAAGAGAGGAAAGGCTGCCAGATTTGATCAAATGTTGATCATTTATTGTTCCGAATATATCTAATTCTTTCTAAGTGTACAGTGTTTGCCAATTCGCTGAGCCATAATTTGGTAGAGGGCGCTTCCCTCCTTTTCCAAAACAACAAGATTAATTTATTTGCCGAAATGAGACTGTAAGAGATGAGTTGTTTTTGGGAGTTGGTTAATCCGTTTAGGGAATCGGACACTCCCAGGATTATCAGAAGCGGGTCTGGGTCTATTGAAGTCTCCAGAACTTCAGAGAGGACCCCAAAAATTCCACACCAATAACCATACAGGCTAGAGCATAGGGCAAAGCAGTGGAGTAGTGTACCCTGCTCAGCCTGACATTTATCACACATAGGGGATGTATCAGGAAATATCCTATGCAGTTTAGTTTTGGAATAGTGTAATCTGTGTAATACCTTAAATTGTATGAGACGATGTCTGGAGTTAATGGAGCAGGTGTGGATATACTCCAAGCTATCCTCCCAGTCTGCCACCGAAATGTCAGTCCCTAGTTCTTCCTCCCATTTTGCCTTAATGGCATCAGTAGAGGGTGCGCTAACAGATTGAAAAGCGTCATATAGACGAGATATCAGTTTGTCTGAGGTGGGGCATATTTTTATGCATCTGTCAAACATGGAACGTTTAGCATTCCCAAATGTTGGGAGGTGTTTTCTAACATAGTCTCTAATTTGTAGGTATCTGAAAAAGTAGTAAGCTGCATTCTAATAGGCCTATCACTGAGTGATTCTTGGTAAGTCTTAAACATATCTACTTTGAAACAAAAGTATACACCTCACACACGGTTAAGGGCTTACAAAAAAGAAGACACCTGTACCATGTCAGATGTATTACATTTTGAGTTTGCATCCCAATTTTACACTTTATATACATCACAGAAGACTGAAATATAACAAAACTGTTTAACATAGAAGTGATTTTCGGTGTTAAAAAAACCAAACTTTATTAATTATGAAATTGTGAAAAATATTAATAGTGTTCCACACGAGGCCACTAGGTCATTTGACTACAGGAAAGGGTTTGAATCATTGTTTTGAGTGACGTCACTGGACAGACAAAGCGGTATACTGAAGAGGTTTCTCTCTGAGTGTGCTGTGTGGAGAACAAAACATTTCTCACATGCAGGGACTTGTCATACACACATTCCACAAAACACATGTTAGTTGGATTCACAGATACAAATTAGAATAGATTGTAGTAGTGAGAGATTCCATGACTCACAGTTAACAGAATGGAGAGAACTGTCTTGCAGAGAGTAGCCTGAAACCCCATATGCAATACTATATTTCCCCAAAGGTACACAATAAATAAATGTAATTGTAATATGGTCCAGCTGCCAATACCATGTTAAGATGTTTTACATAGGCTGTCTTCAACTAGACCGTTTGATGCATGTTAAGAAACACCCTGAGACTGTTGTAGTCGATATGTTTGTGCTGTATTTGTGTATATGAGGGAAGGGGGTCAGTCTCTTGGAGAGGGGTTCTGCATACCGTAGCTATGGTGTAGGCTGTGTTACAGTGAGGGGGGAAAAAGGATTTGATCCCCTGCTGATTTTGTACGTTTGCCCACAGACAAAGAAATTAGTCTATAATTTGAATGGTAGGTTTATTTGAACAGTGAGAGACAGAATAACAACAACAAAAAACAGAAAAACGCATGTCAAAAATGTTATAAATTGATTTGCATTTTAATGAGGGAAATAAGCATTTGACCTCTCTCAATCAGAAAGATTTCTGGCTCCCAGGTGTCTTTTATACAGGTAACGAGCTGAGATTAGGAGCACACTCTTAAAGGGAGTGCTCCTAATCTCAGTTTGTTACCTGTATAAAAGACACCTGTCCACAGAAGCAATCAATCAATCAGATTCCAAACTCTCCACCATGGCCAAGACCAAAGAGCTCTCCAAGGATGTCAGGGACAAATTGTAGACCTACACAAGGCTGGAATGGGCTACAAGACCATCGCATCAAAGGGACGATGGACGGCGCCATGTACCGTCAAATCTTGGGTGAGAACCTCCTTCCCTCAGCCAGGGCATTGAAAATGGGTCGTGGATGGGTATTCCAGCATGACAATGACCCAAAACACACAGCCAAGGCAACAAAGGAGTGGCTCAAGAAGAAGCACATTAAGGTCCTGGAGTGGCCTAGCCAGTCTCCAGACCTTAATCCTATAGAAAATCTGTGGAGGGAGCTGAAGGTTCGAGTTGCCAAACGTCAGGCTCGAAACCTTAATGACTTGGAGAAGATCTGCAAAGAGGAGTGGGGCAAAATCCCTCCTGAGATGTGTGCAAACCTGGTGGCCAACTACAAGAAACGTCTGACCTCTGTGATTGCCAACAAGGGTTTTGCCACCAAGTACTAAGTCATGTTTTGCAGAGGGGTCAAATACTTATTTCCCTAATTTAAAATGCAACTCAATTTATAACATTTTCGACATGCGCTTTTCTGGATTTTTTTGTTGTTATTGTCTCTCACTGTTCAAAGAAACCTACCATTAAAATTATAGACTGATGTCTTTGTCAGTGGGCAAACGTACAAAATCAGCAGGGGATCAAATACTTTTTCCCCTCACTGTTCTCTCTTCAACTGATTTGGGGACATTTCTAACTGCTTAATATGGTCTCTGCATTTCCAAGCTGAAGGCGCCATCCACATTCCTAAAATGTGCTTCTTTGAGGTCTTTATGACCTGGAAGTCGCTTACTGTCACGGAGTCGCTTACTGTCACGGAGTCGCTTACTGTCACGGAGTCGCTTACTGTCACGGAGTCGCTTACTGTCACGGAGTCGCTTACTGTCACGGAGTCTTTTATCCCTACAATATTTCTAAATTCTTTTTTCATGTTACACCACAAAAGAAAGCATTTCAAAAGTTTTCCAATTCAACCGAACCCCAGTTCTACCGACCTAAGTGCATTTGATAAATGTTTACCCAGAGTCTTTTGCACATTTCTAGGGCAGGGGTTCAGCTCTGAACCCAAATAAAAAATAATGAAGAAATAGTGTGTGATTTATAGATTTATTCTCATAACTCGCGACCCACCTCTCACATGCCCAGGGCCCACTTTGGGTCATGACCCATAGTTTAAGAAACCCTACTCTAGGGTGATGGATGCCCTACACAAGCTAATTCCTCAAAGGAATTTATCCCAAATGAATTATACTGTATCGCTGTATTCCATACAGTTTCTATTCCCTGGGTATTGTGGATTTGGGTTGACTGTCATACAGTTAGATTTAGGGTTCCTAGAATAGCCTACCAGTTGGCAAAGGAAAGCTGTTTGCTCTACACCTGCCATTAAATCCATACTCTCTTTGTTAGAGATCCTGGGAGTCATTGCCCTAAAAGGCAAGCTGAACTGACCAATGTTTATCGTTAATATATAACCTATTATACTTTCTGAAAGACAGAGACAGTGAGGGGTTTGAGAACAGAAACTTCTCCCTACAATCTCCTCCGTCAATACCTGTCCCAGACTCTTCTAAATCTAGGCCTAATCAGATTCAATAAAAACACATAGGCTTATTGGTACTCTGAGAGTTATAGAAAATGAGAGTGTTTGTGCTGCTTTACTGATCCTATTGAAATAACCTATCCAATTAAAGTGGTACTGTATTTTCCACTGGTAAGGTCCCCACGGGGACTGCAACCTGCATCTAGGCTATAACACATGGCCTGGAGGAGAGGCAGGCTTGGAGTGATGACGTCACTGTCCCTAGTGGTGGGGGAGAGGCCTCCTGCATTGTGGGACCTGCTATATTTCATTAGCCTGATTTTGTTTCGGCCTAAATGACAAGGGGTTAACTCTTATTCCCTCTTTCTTTCCCTCTTCTCTCATTCCCCTCTTCTCTATAATGTGAGTCACACCCACAGGAAGCCATGTGGCAGCCAGCGACCGAGGTGGAAGAGCAGTAGTTGCCCTAATCCATCTGTAGTGAGACCATTTAGACCTGTCACACTGTGTTTAGCCAGCCTCTATTGAAGCATACACTAGATATAGTTGTCTTAAAAATCATGGAATAGGTAGTTGCCTACTTTATCCAGTTTTAGGATCCCTGCCCCCACCCTATAGTTACATTCTCTATAAAATGAGAGTCACAAACTTGGCACACTGTCACACTATGCAATCGTTACACTGTTTTAACCATCTGCTACCCATGTGTTTTGTGACAGTGGGCTTTGCTTCTGTTCTGACCAAATATGCTAACAACACACCACACTATAAGCTAAGGCTATCCACCTCTCCAGATCCCTCACGCTCGCCCTCCTCTCTTTAGCTTCAATTCAATCTAGGCCTAAGGCACCTTTTGACTTGTTTTAGACTGCTCTTTTGGATAAAGGGAAGGGAAGAATGAAAAGTGGTGTTCACATTGCCAGAGTATATGGTAAAAACAGACTCATCAAAACAAGTCCTCTCTCACACCCTCACTCATTATGTGGTCCACATAATCTATCTTAGCCATTAACCCACTGTCTCCCTCCCTCCCTCCCCCCTCTTTCACGCTCTCTCTCCCTCCATATTTCCATTTCACCTCTCTCTTTCCATCTGGAGAGCTTCAATTGCGAGGAGAAACTGAGAGCGTACTGATAGTGCTGCTATAGTCTGCAGTTCAGCTTTGAGGAAGTCTTGGCTATTATGAAAGCTGGTCAGTGGGGAAAGAGGGTCTGGCCTTTTGATCACACCATGATGAGGACACTGTGTGTGTGTGTGCGTTTTTTATTCCTCACCCTCTCTTCCTCTTCCTTTCACTGAGGGCAGCGATGCTGGGTAATGTGGGCAAGGTGTGTTAAAGCCAAGGGTGTGTTAACTATTTGAAGCACTCTTTTGTTCGAGGTTGTAAAGATATGTGTCGTAACCTGCTGTTTTCTTCCTCTCTCCGTCACAGGGCAGTGATGCCGGGTATGGTGATGTTTCGGCGGCGCTGGTCAGTTGGCAGTGATGACCTAGTGCTGCCCGCCCTCTTCCTCTTTCTACTACACTGCGTCTGGTGAGTACTGCGTTTGGATGTTTCTCTCTGTGAGTGTATGTTCCTGTGTCTGTCTGTTGCGGTCAGGAGTCCCCGCACCAAGCGAAAAGTTTGAAGCTGTATATGAGATGAAATTCTTACCCCCAAAAATGTTGTGTCATGCCCCTCTCTCCCCCTCCCCTGCCAGGCTGGTGGTTCTGTCTGTGGTTCTGTTCGGCCTGCCCTATGGCTCGGACCAATCCTGCTCAGTCACCCTGGTGGACCATGGTCGGGGGTACCTGGGCATCCTGGTCAGCTGCCTGATCTGTGAGAGCGCCATCATGTGGCTGAGTATGAGAGGCAGCATCCTCTATACACAGCCCAGAGAAGCTGTGCAGTATGTCCTCTACATACGACTAGGTAAGACACACCAGCATGTTATCACAAACACACTATATATAGTCACACTTAAAATATACTCCACCTGTTCTCATAATATCCTGTCTAATTTCACAATATTGAGTAATGTTGTTTCCCTGTGTTTCACTCCCCTCTCTGCTTTCTCTCTGTCAGCCATCCTGTTGGTGGAGTTGGTATATGCAGTCGTGGGGATCGCCTGGCTTTTCCAATACTACCAACCATGCTCTGATGTCACTGCCAAGAACCTTGCTTTGGGTGAGTTAGAGACGGAGCAGCAATCAATAGAAGAAGCATGTTGGAGACTAGAGTAATCTTCAAAGAGAACAAGGACGGACTTGTATAACAAAGTAATGGAGTAGAAAGGCACGAGCATGTGTAGCTTTTCCTACACTCTTGCGTGGTTCGTTATCAAGAACACAATGTATCAAAACTATCCTGTCTTCACCCTGTCTCCCCCAGGGATTGTGGTGTGCAATTGGCTGGTGATCTTCAGCGTGTGTTTCACCCTCATGTGTACCTTTGACCCCACGGGACGCACCTTTGTCAAACTGAAAGCCACCCGGCGACGCCAACGCAACCTCACCACCTACACCCTCAGGTTGGTACCCTCTTCCCTGCATACTATCATCTGTACACCCTTAGGTTGGTACGATCTGCCCTACACACTACCATCTCTAAACCCTCAGGTTGGTACCTTCTGCCCTACACACTACCATCTCTACAGAGTATACCACCTACACCCTCAGGTTGGTACCCTCTGCCCTACACATTACTACCCTCTCTGCCCTACCCTGACCACACCCAGCACAGCACACTAAGGTAACCATCCTGCCGTGCCTCCCTTCCTCAGACACAGGCTAGAGGAGGGCCAAGCCAGCAGCTGGAGCAGGAGACTGAAGTTCTTCATGTGCTGCACCCGAGCCCAGGACACACAGTCTGTGAGTGAAATAGAATTAATGTTCCTCTATCCATCACTCAACTTCCTATATGATACAAGCTATTCAGTGATAATCAACGGTTTTGGTTAGGATCTGTTCTTGTGGTTATTCATGGTTCAACCTCTATCTTTCCTCTCCTGTTAGGATGCGTATTCTGAGGTGGCCAGCCTGTTTGCAGAGTTCTTCCGAGATCTGGACATTGTGCCTAGTGACATCATAGCTGGCCTGGTGCTGCTTCGCCAGAGACAGAGGTCCAACAGAGGTGCCATTCTGGACCAGGTAACAGGGGATGGGGACCAGTGTGGAGAGAGAGAGCGAGGGATGGGGGGGAAGGTAAAATGGTGACACTTTTTTTGGTTACTACATGATTCCAGGTGTGTTATTTCATAGTTTTGATGTCTTCACTATTATTCTACAATGTAGAAAATAGTAAAAATAAAGAAAAACCCTGGAATGAGCAGGTGTGTCCAAACTTTTGACTGGTACTGTAGTCTTACTAGTACTGTATATTCCAATATGTGAAATTGTGTGATGTGTGTTGTTTTTCTCCCTCAGGCCAACAATGACATTTTAGCCTTCTTATCTGGAATGCCTGTAACTCGCAACACCAAATACCTGGACCTTAAGAACTCGGTGAGTTTGTGTTCGTGGATTTATATTGAACCTCTAAGGCAGCAGTGTAGCCTCTGTCTCTCTGTTTGTGGATGTATTTTTAACATTGTGTGTGTGTGTCCCTCAGACGGAGATGGGCATGTACAAGGAGGTGTGTTACTACATGCAGTTTGCCCTGGCCGCGTACGGCTGGCCCATGTACCTGATGAGGAAGCCTGCGTGTGGGCTGTGCCACCTGGCCAGCTCCTGCCAGTAAGTCTGCCTGCCTCCCTGGCGGGCTCCCCGCCTCCCATCCCATGCACTTACACCGGTTTCACATTTCACATTCATCAGCATTGACAAAGTGGTAATCCACTGGGACAATAACACTCTGGTCAGACCCCACTCTCTGACACAGTGGGTAAACAATGGAGCACTGACACACAGCGTGTTCCACTCCACTGTTCAGACAAAACACTGAACCACGCACTAACCACTTGACTAGTGATACAAATACCTAAATACAGTGAATCACACAGATATGTTTGTGTTTTAGACTCACACACTCAATCTAAGGACCTATTGAAGTAATCTCTCTCCATCTCTCCCCTTTCTCGCTCTCTCTCTTCCTCTCTTTATTTCCCTCATCTCTGTGTGTCTGTCCTCTACTCTCTCTCCCTCCATCTCTCTCTCAGCTGTACATCAGGGTCTGGCTCTAGGCTGTCCCAGACAGTGACGGTGGAGGAGGATAACTGTTGTGGCTGTAACGTCCTGGCTATCCGCCGCCACTTCCTGGACAGAGAGCTGAAGCAGGTCCACGTTGTCTACACATCCTGGCACGACGCGGTGAGTAGAGTACCCAACGGAAGGGTGACCGACTTAGGGGTCAGGCGTCAGTCTGGACAATTACAAGGCATGACTAGAACACAGCAGATACAACATGGAGTGTTCGTAGAAGCAATTTTCACTGTACAGATGAACAAGTGTATGATTTCTCATATTGTCTGTCAGGCAGACATTTTCTGAATCCCTCTCCTTGGAATTGTTTCTCTTAATGACTCCTTGATGATATATTGCACTTAGTGCCCCCCAATAATAGATGTAATATAACACCTTTTATAAACTGGGTGGTTTCGAGCCCTTAATGCTGATTGGTTGACAGCCGTGGTATATCAGACCGTATACCACAGGTATAAGTGACAAAACATTTATTTTGACTGCTCTAATTTACGTTGGTAACCAGTTTATAATAGCAATAAGACACCTCGGGGGTTTGTGGTATACGGCCAATATACCACGGCTAAGGGCTGTATCCAGGCACTCCGTGTTGCATCATGCTAAGATCAGCCCTTAGCCGTGGGATATTGGCCATATACCACACCCCCTTTGGCCTTATTGCTTAAATATTGCATTGCTCTGTACCAAGGGAAGTAAATCACACTGCCAATTGGCTGGCTGGACAAATATCCCAATCACATACAAAATATTACACCTGTTAATTATTTTCCGTTTGCAGAGGGAAGTTGCCATAGCGAGAGAGCACTCAAAACACACTGATTTGTAAAGCAGACTTCTCTGTTAACTAGGCCAAGTCTGACTTTCCATCCATTAAAGCACACCATGCAGGCTAGCTAGCAGGAGAGTGGAGGGTCTGGAGTCTGCAGACACACCATGCAGGCTAGCTAGCAGGAGAGTGGAGGGTCTGGAGTCTGCAGACACACCATGCAGGCTAGCTAGCAGGAGAGTGGAGGGTCTGGAGTCTGCAGACACACCATGCAGGCTAGCTAGCAGGAGAGTGGAGGGTCTGGAGTCTGCAGACACACCATGCAGGCTAGCTAGCAGGAGAGTGGAGGGTCTGGAGTCTGCAGACAACCATGCAGGCTAGCTAGCAGGAGAGTGGAGGGTCTGGAGTCTGCAGACACACCATGCAGGCTAGCTAGCAGGAGAGTGGAGGGTCTGGAGTCTGCAGACACACCATGCAGGCTAGCTAGCAGGAGAGTGGAGGGTCTGGAGTCTGCAGACACACCATGCAGGCTAGCTAGCAGGAGAGTGGAGGGTCTGGAGTCTGCAGACACACCATGCAGGCTAGCTAGCAGGAGAGTGGAGGGTCTGGAGTCTGCAGACTCGCATCACAGAGAGTTAGGCAAGGACACTCCATGATGGAAGTCATCATTATAGTCCTTGGCTGTTTCATCTGCGATGTCTTTGATTGATGTGTGTAACTAAAAGAAATAGATTTAGCTGCTACCTCTCTCACTATGCTCTCTCTCCCCTTCATAGGTTTACGAGACACCTTTCTTTGTGGCTGTGGATCACGGGAAAAAGAAAGTTGTCATCAGCATTCGAGGAACCCTGTCCCCCAAAGTAAGACACCACACACTGTGACACAGTGACAAACCAATGACTCACAAGTGACTGACCAGAGAGTAATCTAACTACCATGGTTATGTACCAAATGGCAACCTATTCCCTATATATTGCAACACTTTTGACAAGAGCTTCTGGTCAAAAGTTGTGCATGTAGTGTTTAAAAAAAGAGAGAGGGTGATTGCATCTCCCAAAAAGACTGCAACAACCTACACAGTCCACTATATAGGTCAAAAGGTGCTATTTGGGATGTAAGTGAATTACCAGATAGTCACCTAAGTCCATGTAAGTCAATCATGGAGCACAATAAAATGTTTTGCAGTACAACAACTTTCAGTGCAGTTAAATTCCTTGCAGTTCTATGACATAGAATCTTTCCATTTTCAACTGAACTCCCACACCCCCTCTCTTGTTGGCTAAGCATTCTCTTGGCTCAAATTTGCTCACGAAAAACAGCACTGAACTGTGCAGGAAGTACTGTAAAATCACTATACTCTGCAGCACGATTTCTTTAACAGTGTCCAAGGAAAGGAGACTATTATTTATCTGGAGCAGGAAGAAAATGTGTTGCACTTGCTAGCAGTGTTCAGAACTCCCCTTGATCATGTGTCAACCCATCTATTTAAAATGGCACGGTTAATTTTCTCACAGCAAAATAGTTTTTTCTTTACTTGAGGAAATGGAGCCCATTCTCTCTCTCTCTCTCTCACTCACTCACACACACACACACACACACACTCTATCTCTCCTGTCTTTCATCTTTTGTTTTCACCTCCTCCACTTAAAGACATGCTCCAGTACTTTGGCAACTAAGAAAGTATTTTTTAAACCTCCTGCTTTGGGCTAGATGTGTCAATGTGTAGTTTATACATGCATAATCTATGAGCAGAATTACAGTCTTACCTCAATTAGCCAGGAAATCCCTCGTTTGAAAGCGACTGTTTTCTTGAAGCTGTGCCATGCCATTTTCTCGACATTTCCCCCAATGTAGCCCAGCCCCCTAGCAATTCGAGTTCTGGCCAATAAGTTCAGCCCCTCGCATTTGAAAGGGAAAGGGGATACCTAGTCAGTTGTACAACTGAATGCATTCAACCGAAATGAGTCTTCCGCATTTAACCCAACCCCTCTGAATCAGAGTCCTGGCTGCCTTAATTGACATCTGCCTTGCTCAAGGGCAGAACAGCAGATTTTTCCACCTTGCCAGCTTGGGATTCAAACAAGTTACTTTTCGATTACTGTCCCAACGATCTAACCACTAGGCTACCTGCCGCTGCGTGACCGCTAGCAGAGGCCTGCCCAGTGTTATCCAATGAGGTTGTAGGGAGAGAGAGCGAGCAATGACGTGGTGCACATATCTGCACATATGTGAAGTAGTACGCAGTTTTTGGGGACCACCTTTGGCTCATGAGTGCTACTTTCAGAACTAGTGGCTAAAAAGTATAGAAAAGTACCAGAGAATATATTTAAGTGCATGTAATAGTATCAGGACATGTTTTCTGTGTGTGTGTGTGTGTGTGTGTGTGTGTGTGTGTGTGTGTGTGTGTGTGTGTGTGTGTGTGTGTGTGTGTGTGTGTGTGTGTGTGTGTGTGTGTGTGTGTGTGTGTGTGTGTGTGTGTGTGTGTGTGTGTGTGTGTGTGTGTGTTAGGATGCCCTGACTGATCTCACAGGGGACTCTGAGCGTCTGCCAGTGGAGGAGCAGCATGGAAACTGGTTGGGCCACAAGGTGAGAATGCACTCACATTCACCCAGCCAAACCTAGTCCAATCAGAGGTTCCCTTGGGTGTCTCTTCACCCTCTGTTACAAGCCATCCCCAAGAAATATTAGTATAATGTGCTCCCAAAGCACAGGGGCCATTTCACCTCTCAAAAGTGGAGTGATTTATAGATGTAAAATGAGTGGATATTAAAATAACTGAATGAAGAGGCTGATGAGAAGCAAAGATTAATGGAATGTAACAGTCTGCCTCTCTCTCTCTCTCTCGCTCTCCCCTATTCCCTCCCTTCTTATCTTCCTGTCTCAGGGGATGGTTTACTCAGCAGAGTACATTAAGAAGAAACTGGAGCAGGAAATGATCTTGTCACAAGCCTTTGGGAGAGACTTGGTACATGAGTGATGAATATGTGGATATGTCTCTGTGTGGAGTGTGTTAGAAAGGATTTGTGTATATTGGTTGAAATGTAATATGTTTGAATAACTAACACTTTCATGGGAACAGAGCCTTAGAAGAAAATATAAGATTTTGTTGAAGGGTGTGCGTGTATACAAGTATAATCCTAATCTGTGTAGAAAGGATTTGTGTATATTGGTTGAAATGTAATACATGTTTGCATAACTAACACTTTCATGGGAACAGAGCATTAGAAGAAATAGAAGATTTTGTTGAAGGGTGTGTGTGTGTATATACAAGTCTAATCCTAAGGTTTTTCTCAGGGTAAGGGAACCATGCACTACGGGCTGGTGATAGTGGGACACTCCCTTGGTGCTGGTACTGCAGCCATCCTTTCCTTCCTGCTCCGCCCCCTGTACCCCACACTGCAGTGCTACTCCTACTCTCCACCAGGTGGCCTTCTGAGGTAACTACGGCCTTCATCATTGTCATCAAACTATACGGTAGATGTAGTTGCTCGGCCCATTGCTTGTAGCCACTTGTAGCTATTGCAACAGGACAGGAAGCACCAAGACCTACTCGGATCAAGAAAACTTTGCATCAGACATCCATATCCCATTGCTTATACAGCCTGGAATTGCATTGGGAAAGAAATGACCTATAGTATACAAAACTCGCACACTGAAACGTCCAGCCTTCACCAGTCATAAGATCACTGTGTAACATGTCCATGTGTGTCTTTCAGTCCCCTCAAACTGGATTTGCAATGTAAATCATGGTGTAAAAGGTTGTGTGTGAACATATGACATGTTCCAGTGCTCTGCCAGTCCAGTGCTGTTCTGAGATGAGGTAATTTGTGGTTAGAACTGGTTCTAGACTGTCTGTGCTGATCAAATGAGGTAGAGGCCTTTTGTCAAGTCCTCCAGTTTCTAGGCTATAGCATAAAGCAGGGAACTCAGAAGCACCATCTCCGTATACACCAGGGATTTCTGTGCTGAGATCTCTTTTCTTCTTCATATTTGTCAGTCGTGACTCTTGATCTAGCCCGTTTGTCTCTGATCTCTATTGATATTGATTAGATCCGATATAAATGTATTCCCTTTTATGACACCGATGTCGAGATCTTGGATGCTTTTTATCGAAGGGCAACTCATCGCGGGCCTTGATGCCTCTACACATCGACGTTTGCTGTGGGGAGACGTTGAATTATTTAGCCAGATGGAATGAGATCAGACTGTGTGTGGAAAAAATCTGGTTGGAAATTCAGCAGCAAAAATTTCAGTGGTGACGGAGGGAAAGAGATCGGGGAAGGAGAAGAGTACACCACATTCTTACTAGACAAACACATTGTTTTTCTGACCCACCCTTCCTTTTTTCACATCTTCTTTCTCTTTTTGTGTCTCTGACTTTCTTCTTCTCCTCTTGTTGTTTCTACAGTGAGGATGCCATGGAGTACTCCAAAGAGTTTGTCACCTCTGTCGTTTTGGGAAAGGACCTTGTCCCAAGGTATGCCATCTATGTAGAAACCCCTCCGATCTCAAGTATCATATCTGTCATGGTGTACAGTTGTACTCTGTAGTGGTCCTCTGTAGCTCAGCTGGTAGAGCACGGCGCTTGTAACGCCAAGGTAGTGGGTTCGATCCACCCATACACAAAAAAAACAAAACATGTATGCACGCACGACTGTAAGTCGCTTTGGATAAAAGCGTCTGCTAAATGGCATATTATTATTATTATTATTATTATTATATTACTCATTTCTCTGCTGCTTGTCTCTATTAGGATTGGTCTCTCTCAGCTGGAGGGGTTTCGGCGCCACCTGCTGGAAGTTTTACAGAAGAGCGACAAGCCAAAGGTAGCGCATGTATTTCTAATAAGATAGCAAAGTGTGTGTGTGATCAAGCTCCGTATATTCTACAGAAATGAAGCATCAACACTATGCTCTAACCGCTATCAGTATAGGTTGTAACTGCTGATATCTCTCTGCCAGTGGAGGATCATTGCAGGGGGCACTAAGTGCATTCCTAAGTCCGAGCTGCCTGTGGACGACGGCCCCCAGCCCCAGGCGGCCCCCGTGCCCCCCAGCACCCGTCTCTGGCTGCACCCCAGTGATCTCAGCATCGCCCTGTCAGCCTCCACCCCCCTCTACCCCCCGGGCAAGGTCATCCACGTGGTCCACAACCACCCCTTAGAGACATGGTAAGAGGCCTGGTATTACAATGATGGCACAATAAAGTTTATTAGTCACATGCACAGGGTCGCAGATGTAATTTCAGGGTACAGTGGAATCCTCTTTGACCAACAATGCAGGTCAAAGAGAAGTGGGTGAAACAATAACACAAATAATAATAGTAGTAATACTATATAGTAGTAATAAAAAGTAAAATAATGGAATGGAAAAAGATCACAGGATAGCATATACTGTATATATACACATATTTACAGCTAGTTTTAAATTCTATACAGCTGCTGCAGTTAGAAGTGTGTAAACAAGGATATTGTCCATAGAGTGACGAGTGAGTAACAAGGATAAATGTCCATTGGGGGTTGAGGGGGTGCAGGGGAGGGAGGGGCGGGTGGATAAATGTCCATTGGGGGTTGAGGGGGTGCAGGGGAGGGAGGGGCGGGTGGATAAATGTCCATTGAGGGGGAGGTAAAATGTCCGCGGGGGGTAGGAAGTCCGGGGGGCAGGAGTGGGACAGGGGGAGTAGGTAGCTGACTAGTGGTGGCTATTCAGCAGCCTGATGATCAGGGGGTAGAAGCTATTGGCCAGTCTGTCAGTTTTTGCCATGATGATCCTATATTGCCCGCGTCGGAGTGATGAAATCGAGGAGAACAGGCAGTGGCTCGAGTGGCTGAGGTCCCTGATGATCGTCTTGGCCTTCCTGCGACACCTTGTGTTTTAGGTGTCCTGGAGGGCAGTCAGTGTGCATCCGATGGTGCGTTCGGCTGAGCATACCACCCTCTGTAGAGCCTTGCGGTCAACGGCGGTGGAGTTGCCGTACCAGGCTGTGATACAGCCCGACAGTATGCTCTCTGGTGCTCCTGTAGAACACTCTGAGGGCCCTCGGGGACAGTCCAAATTTCTTCAGCCTCCTGAATTTGAAGAGTCGCTGTCGTGCCTTCTTCACCACGGTGTCCGTGTGGTTTGACCATTTCAGCACCTTGGAGATGTTTACGCAGAGGAACTTTATGTTTTTGACCTTCTCCACGGTGGCCCTGTTGATGAGGATGGGAGTGTGCCCAGCCTGGTTCCTCCTGAAGTCCACAATCAGCTCCTTTGATTTGCTGACGTTGAGGGAGAGGTTGTTTACCTGGCACCATGCCGTCAGAATAACCTACCTCCTCTCTGTAGGCCATCTCGTCTTGGTTGGTAATCAGGCCGACTACTGTTGTGTCGTCAGTGAACTTGATGATGGAGTTGGAACTGTGTGAGGCCACGCAGCCGTGGGTATAGAGGGAGTACAGGAGAGGACTGAGGACGCACCCATGTGGGGTTCCCGTGTTGAGGATCAGTGTGAAGGAGGTGATGTTGCCTAGCTTCACCACCTGGGAGCGGCCCGTCAGGAAGTCCAGGACCCAGTTGCATAGGGAGGAGTTCAGTCCCAGGGCTGAGAGCTTTGTGGTGAGCTTAGTGGTATTGAAGGCCGAGCTGTAGTCGATGAACAGCATCCTCACATATGCATTCCTTTTGTCCAGGTGGGTGAGGGCAGTGTATACTACCAATCAGTTTAGTACACCTCTAGTGTGATATGTTTCACGCTGATTGGAAATAAACTGTACTAGGGAAAAGGCTGGCTTTACTCAGACATTACTTTTGATATAAATGTGCATGCATAGAAAAGTTTGTGGTTATACACACATCCTTAAAAACATAGGTGGTGGGCTAATAAAGAATACTAGTATAGAACAAGAAGGCCCGCACACTGTTAAAGCTCCCAATTCACCACTTTATTGAGAACGTTTCGATCCGAAACTGATCTTCGTCAGGTCAAACAAACTGAGTGCTCACATCCCAAAATATACAGATTTCACCTCACATGACGCATGGTGGGTGCAAAAAACATTTGTGTATCTCTAATAATTTAATAACAATGAGATGGGTACATGTAGTGGTTCCAGAAAATAATATATATTTACAAAATGACCAAGTGGGTAACCTGGAAGGCAAGAAAAATCTAAGTAAAGTGACATATTCATGTAGGAAATGGTCTGATATCAAACTCTTGGTTCAGACCTCTAGGAGACATGGTACACAAACGGTGAATCCAATACAATTCTCTTCTCAATAATAGATTATCAGTATCTCTGCCCCTCCTAGGAGTCTTAACATGTTCGATGCCAATGTATCTCAAAGAGCTAATGTTGTGACGAGCCTCCATGAAATGCACAGCCACAGGGTTTCTCTGGTCAACATTAACATTACATTAACGTCATTTAGCAGACGCTCTTATCCAGAGCGACTTACAGTTAGTGAATACATATTTTTTTATACTGGCCCCCTGTGGGAATCGAACCCACAACCCTGGCGTTGCAAACGCCATGCTCTATCAACTAAGTTACATCCCTGCCGGCCATTCCCTCCCCTACCCTGGACGACGCTGGGCCAATTGTGCGCCGCCCATGAGTCTCCCGGTCGCGGCCGGCTGCGACAGAGCCTGGATACGAACCAGGATCTAGTGGCACAGTTAGCACTGCGATGCAGTGCCTTGGACCACTGCGCCACTCAGGACAAGGGTCCTGATATTACTCCTGTGTTCTGCTGTCCTTGTTTTCAGAGCTCCTTTTGTTTTAGCTACATAGCATAGACCACAAATACACTTCATCAGGTATATCACATGTTTTTGTGAAACAACATGTAATGATGCCCTTAATCTTAATGCCCTTTCCCATGATAGGGTGATTGAACATTGTACATTTGTTTGAAGTTACACTGGGTACATCTGCCACATCTATAGTTACCGTCCGGAACATTGTCTAGAAAGGTACTGCGTGGCACTAGTGGAAGATCAGGCCTCAACATCATTTGACTGATGTTGGGGGCGCATCTGAAGACTGTATACTGTGTATACTACCAATCAGTTTAGTACACATCTAGTGTGATATGTTTTACTCTGATTGGAAAGAAACTGTACTAGGGAAAAGGCTGGCTTTACTCAGACATTACTACTGGTATAAACGTGCATGCATACATCATTTTGCTGCGTATATAATTTAGCTGACACTTCTCTGACCCCCCCCCCCCCCCCCCCCTCTGTGTGTAGCTGTGGACAGGAGGAGCCCACCTACTCAGCTCTCTGGGGGGATAACAAGTCTTTCAACGAGGTTATCATCTCCCCTGCCATGCTAAATGAGCACATGCCTCACATGGTGATGGAGGGACTCAACAAGGTCTGTGGATATAATATATACACTGTACATGTCTGTCTGGGTTTCCTTTGGGTGTTGGATGGGATGAGTGGTGGTTTCCTGTAGATAAAATGAGATTGTAGAGGTCCTGGTCAGATGCTCTGTTGGAGAAGGTGACAGAATAAGGTAGCGGGGCACTGGTGAAATGCACTGAGGGAAATATCAATGAATCAAACATCATTCATACTCTGAGTTGGCAGGTGACGACACTGGATGAATGTTCTATGTATGGATGTTTTTGTGGGTTTCTGTCTGTAAAAGCTTTCCTAACAATTGTATGTTTTCAATTAATAGTTAGAACTAACCTCATGTTTTCTTGTGCTGCTCTAGTGCTGTAGCTGGGGAAGGTGCTGTTCACTGACGGTGTGCTGGATGTTGTCTGGTCTGCTCCATAGGCACTACATGCTTAGGCTATACTGGGGTTCCTCTGATGGAACTGCATTAGTGTTGGAGTATGTCTGCTGTGTGGGGGGTATTGGTGTAAGCATGGTGTTGTGTGATTGAAACTGCAGTGGTGTGTTTGTATGTCTGTGTGATACTTATGATGTCTCTGCAGGTACTGGAACCATTTGGTCTCAGTTCTGAGCAGGCAGAGGCAGAGCCAGTGGAGATGGAGGATGAGGGCCAACCAGCCAGCACTGTGGTGGTCATAACCTCTGAAACAGAGCTGCCCTCTACCCCTCTGCTTTCAGATACCTCCTCTAACGCCCACAAAGACTCACCCTCTACCTTTCCTCTTTCAGATAGCTCTTCTGATACCAAGAAAGACCCACTCTGTTTCTCTCCTCTTTCAAATACATCTTCTGATACCCACAAAGACCTTTCCTCTCCCTCTTCTCTTTCAGATTGTCCCTCTACCCCCAAAATAGAGCTGCCATCTACCCCCCCTCTTACAGATACCCCATCTGTTCCCCAAACACAGCTTCACTCTACCCCTCCTCTTATAGATAGTCTTTCCCCCACTGAACCATCAAATACCTCCCCCCACATAGACCAACCCGCTATCTCCCTCATAGACCAACCCGCTATCTCCCTCAAAGACCAACCAGCTATCTCCCACATAGACCAACCCGCTATCTCCCACATAGACCAACCCTCTATCTCCCAATTGTCGAATGGCCCCTCAACTCAGAAAACTGACTTGTCCTCTACACCTCTGTGTCACACCCACTCTCTTCCCCTCAAGCATCAAGTACCCTCCAAACAGACCTACCCTTTCCCCCCACAATCATGACAGACGGACCCCCTCTACTCCTCTTACAGGTGTTCCCTGCAGTACCCTACCACCAACCCACTCTGAACCTGTACTATCCAATACCCCTACATCCCCTCCAAGTAGACTCTTCAAATACACCATCCACCACCCTCCCACTACCTATCCCAAATCCTCTGGTGTAATGTTACAGCCTCTACCTCTCCTTTCCAGCTCACAGTCCCCCTCTGCCTCTTCAGTCTTACAAACCCTGTCTTACTCTTAGCTTCGCTCTAGCTTCAAATTGTTCTGATTGAGAAATCACCACACACCCTACTTACTAACGCACACTTTTATCTCTAGATGCAGTGTGGTTTCCATGGTTACCCCCATTTCTCCAACACTAACCCCTCCTCATTATTCCTTGTGGCCTCCTGCTGTTCTTAATTGGCAGCTCAAGGTGTCCTGAGTAAGGAGGACGTGCTAAGCTTCTCAGAGTCCTCTGATTCCCCCACAGTTCCCCCACAGTTGGCATGATGGCACAAACAGACCGGCAACCAGGCTACTGTAGACCGTGTTGTCATATCAAATAGATTCTAATGGTCTGGTTTTATATTAGATTAGAGTAGCCTGTTACCTGACAGTGATGACTACTTGTACAGATTGACCAGCCTGAAATAACCCCCCACCAATCAGACCAGTTGACTTTATATTAGTGAGATGATGGAGCACTAAGCTAGCCCTCGTTTATGCTAAATTCATTGATGTAATTTGTCAAAAGATAAATTGGCTTAATACTCTATCTCAATGTGTTTGTTAAAAAGAGGGAGGACGTGCTTGTCTATTAGTCATGGGCAGTGCTTGACTTGGGCAGGAGCTCACCAGAGATGAATACCTGCACCTCAAATGTTCTACTGCTTGAGCTCCTTTTCCTAGCTCACAAGTACTGTGGAGCTCCTGCACCTAAATGTAAACAGTACCAGCACTCAAAATGATTACCGGCACCTATTTCAGTCCAAGTCGAGCACTGGTCATGGCGTTAAGGAGGCAGAACAGTACTTCCCCGGTACTGCTTTGCACTGTGGGTGGTGGGAGAGCACTCTGAGCACTGTTAGAGATGCACCTACTGATGTGTTTTACAGTATTTGGTCTTGGTGGCTTTGTTTCTGTTCAGATGTGAGATTGTATCCCCTATGGTTCTGCTGGGGTGGTGGGGATGTGTTTTTCTATTGTTGTTGCTATGGAAATATTAAGGTCATGCTGCTTGCTGCCTTATTGAGCTTTTGCCTGGTTCTCAGTATGTACCATAGTCATCCAGAAAAGTACTGTACTTCATTTAGTTTTTTATAAGCTGATTGACACCCATCATTTAGCTAACTGTTTTTACTCACATCCTTCTCTGTCCATCTCTTCCTGTTACACATAGCTTTCATACCAATACCATGCATGTTTGTTCAGTGTTAACTCCATTATCATTTATTTTCATGTTTCATTATAGCCATTTGTCATTTTCATATTGTAATGTTGTATTCCATGTCACAATGTGTTAAAAAAACAATTGCATGGATCCAAATGTTTTCTTATGTATTAATGATATTGTATGTTTTTGAATCATGCTTTTTTTCATTTTGTGTTTTAACTCATTAAAGACATAATATATTTAACTGTGTGGTGATGTGATTACCATGAATGTAGTAACTGTTGTCTGTGCTCTCTTGTCTTTTCATCAGTTTATATGAATAACCTACTTAGGGTGTACACACACCACACATACATCTGGCATAGGCCTACATATTATGGAATACTTGTGCAGCAACATGTAAGGTGAAGGTCTAATCTGTGTGAGATTTGTATCCAGGGGTATAGTGCATGACTTTGGTATCGACTCGGGTTTGGTGTTTGCCTGTGCTGTCCAGGTTTGTTCAGTATTCAAGTACCATGCTTAAACAAATGAGGGTGGATGGACTTAGTGTTTCTGACCTTAATCTTTCCCTTCACTTGACACAGTGTTGACTTGTCTCTAATGCCTTGTTTTCAATCATCTTAACATTCACTTTTTCCTGTACTAGCCTACCTGTCAATCCATTGTTCTTGCTGATGTCAATTACATATTACAGGCAATTCCAGTTCTACAGCACTTTAAATTATCCTTATTGATCACCTTAGCCTTTGTTCACTGTTACTGCTCTCCCTCCTTCTTCTTCTTCAGTCCTTCCAGAGCCTCTAAATCATCAGTCAATAATGTCTACAATGCTGGTGGCAGTAAATTGACTGCTCATCCTCCTATCGTATTATTGACAGGTGCTGGAGAACTATAACAAAGGGAAGACGGCCCTGCTGTCGGCTGCTAAGGTAATGGTGAGCCCAACCGAGGTGGACCTGAACCCAGAGACCATCTTCATGGCAGCCGCCCCCCCTCCTGCCTCCCAGCAGCCCACCCCAACCACCAAACACCGCAGGAACAGCAGCGTTCGGTTAGTCCACTGGGATATGTGTGGAGCCGTGGGAGGGTCATGGCAGAGATTGGAAAAATGTATGACTGACTGTGTATAGTCAAAATCTCATGCATTTGTACAGGTAACTGCCAAAATAATGGAAATACTTGAGTAAATTAAGGATTCAAAGTATATTGAAAGCAGGTGCTTCCACACGTGTGGTTCCTGAGTTAATTAAGCAATTAACATCCCATCATGCTTAGGGTCATGCATGAAAATGCTGTACAGGTTGTTATTTTTTACAATATTTTGGCTACCATGGCTCTGCCCCCATAGGATGACAATGCCCCTATCCACTGAATGGTTGATGAGCATGAAAACAATTATGCCATGGCCGACTGTCACCAGATCTCAATCCAATTGAACACTTATGGGAGATTCTGGAGTGGCTCCTGAGACAGTGTTTTCCACCACCATCAACAAAAGAGCCAATGATGGAATTTCTCGTGGAAGAATGGTGTTGCATCCCTCCAATAGAGTTCCAGACACTTGTAGAATCTATGCCAAGGTGCATTGAAGCTGTTCTGGCAGCTCATGGTGGCCCAATGCCTTATTAAGACACTTTATGTTGTTGTTTCCTTTATTTTGGCAGTCGCCTGTATGTTATGTGCAAGAGTCTGCAAGAATGTACCTTCACAGTTTGTTCTTCTATGTGTTCAGATAGAAGCTAAGCATGACAGCATTAACTCTACCACTGTACCTTTCTCCCATGCACGCTCCTCGCTCTCTGACCCACAGTCATTGGTCTGACTCCAGATCAGTGGAAACGTATGGTCGTACACAGTTCCCCCCTCGCCCCCCTCTGATTTAGCCCCTGTAGAACAGAAGTAGTCTATTGTCCTGTTAGTGATTGTGAAGTGTAACCCTAACCTTAACAATTTATCCCCCTCTCCTACCTCTGTGCTCCAACCCCTCTCCTCTATCACTCTGTCATCTCTACTATCTCTAATACCCCCCTTTCTTTACTCTCATCCATCTTGTATTATTCCTACCATATTATACTTTTTTCTTACTTGACCCCTTCCCATTTCTGCCTCCATTTTATTTCTATCCTATTTTGATTTCATTACATAATGTTTCTCTTGTGACGGACCCATTTTTTAAAACAAATGTTTCTCTATTTGGTGAATATGTTACCCCACCCTTCCTCCCTCCAATCTCCCCCCTTTCCTTTGCTCTCCTCCTCTTCCCCTCCTTTCCTCCTCTCAGTTCCTGTGCTCGCTCTGAGATATCACTGGATGGCTTTGCGGAGTGCCCCCCTCCCCCAGTGCCAGTGGTTCTGCGGGGGGCCAGGGAGCGCCTTACTGTGGAGCTGAGGGACCGCCACGCCCCCCTGGCCGTGATGGAGAGCCTGTCAGACGCTGAGTCCCTCTACAGCCTGGACTCCCGACGCTCCTCAGCTGCACTCAGGGGCTCGCCCATGCTGGGGTGCCTCCCCTTCCAAATGAATGCACCCATCCCTGAGGAGAACCCCTCTCTCAGCTCCCGCACTGAGCTGCTGGCTGCCGACTGCCTCTACCAGGCCACCCCAGAGCACGAGCTGGGAGAGGCAGGACCTTACTTCACTCCTCTGGGGTCCGGCTCCACCCCAGACTACTCCATGCGCCTCTCCCCTTCCACTCCGCACTACAGCGGCTACCACTCCCCAGCACCACTGGCCCAGAGTGTTATAGGTCAGCCTTTCACACAAAAAGAGCCTTGTGCCGCCCCATGCCATCAAATGCCTGGCGTTTACAGCCCGGGCAGCACCCCTAATGCTCCCCTCAGCCCACAGATCAGCCATGGGGAGGAGGAGGGAGTAGAGGGAGAAGGATGGGAAACCGAGACAGGAGAGTCACAGCCCTCCTCCTCCACTCCTCCAGCCCAGCTGTCCAACGGCAACCCTAGTCAGGCAGTGCTGGAGTTTGCACAGTACCTGGACTCTCTCTTCAGGCTGGATGGCAGTGGCTCACCGCCTCTGGAGTTGTCTGACGGGGAGTCTGAGTCCGGTCGGGGGTCGTATGGTCAGGGAGAGGGTCCAGGGGAAGAACAGAGGGGGGACGAAACACAGCTTCTGGCTCGGGCCACAATGGAGCCTAACCTGGTCCCCAAGCCCCCCCGTACCTTTGCTGGATCTGCTGACCCTTCCTCTGGCATCTCCCTCTCACCCTCATTCCCTCTTTCTTCCTCTGGTGAGCTCAATGACCTCTCTCCCGCCGACGGAGCACCTCCTCCCACGCACTCACTACGAACCTCCATTCCCTGTCCCCACCCTGAAGAAAACTCACTGGCGTCTATGGTATAGTGGCCCACTCAGTCTCTCCATGACTCTTTCTCTCTCCTCTTTCCTTATTTCGTTGCTGCATCTATCTGATATTAAAGTATCACTGAACATGCATGCGATGGAATGCAATCTGCTATGCTGTTACAGTACCTTACAAAGACATGACATGGCAGACCATAATGAATAAGACTGAGATGAAAAACTCTTGTTCCATTTTCAGGTGTCAAAAGCTGTGTATAGCATTTTCACTACTATTGTAATAATACATTTGAATCTCTGTCTGCATGCCAGGGGCCTGTGCTGCTTTGGGGTGAATAGCCTCACCACTGACTGTCATTCCAACACACACTATCTCACTCACATCAACACATGGTAGCATTACAGCCATGCAGTGACGTGACTTTATCAAATGGGAGACAACTGAACAGGGATGAGGAGGACTTAGTCACTAGGTAGGGTTTGCATTGGCACATAACCACAATTAACGTACCCTCCTCCCTTATCAGCTCCTAAAGCTTATTCATCTTTAATATCAGGAAAGTAAAAAAAACAGAGACAGATGCTGAACAATAGAGAGGAAAGAGAGAGAGAAGACGTTATGGTTTGTTTCTCAGGTCTATCAGGAAATGACAGTGTGGAAGAGAAGGAGTGTAGATCATAGATAATTAATGTGTCTTAAAACAGTGATTGTGACAAATGTTAAGAATGTGGTTTTGGTCTTTGGTTGTCTTTTATAGCATGAGAAAGGTAGTATCCATTTTTTTTACAGAAATCACTCGTCAGTCAGCAACTCTTAATAACATGCCGACCATCTAACACACATCAAAATGCACAATTTGCCCCCTTTTTGCCAAATAATGTATTGCCAAATGTATTTATAAGATGTGATATTGTTTATGTTTGTGAAATACTGCAAAATGTACACTCACACAAAACAAAGATACAGGTTTCAAGTTTAACTCAGAGAGGAAGAAGATACATATTGGTATCGCTCCCTTTAATAGCCAATCAGTCTATTCCCGTTCAAACTGTGTTAAAACGCCCTGAAGAGAATGAGGAAGCTATCCCTACAATACTGCCATGGCACATATCTCCCACAACATGTCTCTCTCCAACAGTTTGTACCAAGCCAATTATGCTATTAAAAAAACCATGATATGCACTGTAGGAGATCATTCCTCTTAAAGGGGTCTTGCTGAGGTACACAATTATGTCAATGACTTCTAAGTCTTTGTTTCCCTTTAAACTGGTTAATCTCAAGCATATTGGGGTTGAACTGGATGGGTTGTAGTGCCCACTTTCACTACATTTTACTAAAATATGTGGCAAACATATTTAATATCAGTTGGGTTGTATTGGTTGGATCAAACATACTACATTATTTATTACTGTTGTTTCTTACTATTATTGCTATTATTGATGGTATTATTATCCTTATTATTACTCTTGTAACAGTTTGGTTTGCTTTCTATGAGTTCGCTTTCAGTTGTTGGGAAAGTCTGATTAATTTCAGCCGACTCTCTCAAAATAAGGGAATATCTCTGTGGGAAAATATCTCTGTCCAAGTGAAAAAGTAATGGGGGTCAACATCACAGGAGGTTGGTGGCACCTTAATTGGGGAGGACGGGCTCGTGGTAATGGCTGGAGCGGAATTAGTGGAATGGTATCAAACACACAGTTTCTATGTGTTTGATTCCATTCGTTCCGTTCCAGCCGTTACTACGAGCCGTCCTCCCCTCAGCAGCCTCCACTAGCTGCCATGGTGATGGCAGAGAGACAGACTCTATAATAGGAAGTGGGGTCATTACAGTGACCTCTGATACAATACAGCCATTCTGAAGGGGTCACTGTGGTGACCTATAGAAGCTGTACTCTTAGAAATGACTTTGCTGTGGTTTCACTCAACAGGCCTCACTCTGTGGCCAGATTACAGTTTGACACCACACAAATCCATGCTCTCACAGCAGTCTCTACTTTGCCAGCACAGTATTGAGCAACCAGTGTGAAATAGCTTTGCTGCAGTGGGTCACGGCCCAGTGTAGGCTATATCAGCATCACCATAGGAAGTTGCCACAGTACCTTTTCACCATGACATGTACAGCACTGTCTTCTTTGTGTCATTATTTATATGCAGATGTCTTGTTTCCTGTCTTTGTAAAATAAAAAAATAAAAAAAGATTAAATGAAAATAGAATAAGGTAGAAAATGACTGTATTATGATAACAGGTATATTACAAATCTATAACAATATTGACATATATAGAAAAAGTACAAATGTATAAAAAAATGGAATCTATTTAGTGAGAAAGATCTATATGACAGATTATTGGCAGAATTTAACAGAATTGATAAAAACTGATTTAGAAATTGGTCTGTGTTGAAAGATAAATAATTCAATGATGTCTTGTCCATGTTGACCTGGTTTTCTACCCTTCCCTTCCTGTCCCAGATTGAGAATGTATTTAACCCCCGCCACCCCTCACTGCCTGTAATGGAATAAAGCAAAACCAATTTGAAAGAAAATTACTTTGAACTTTTTTCAATGTCATTTCTATTTGCTAACCTCTCAGCAGGCTGCACATTTTGAGCTAGATAGGCCTACCATAATGGTGGTTATGCAGTGAGAGAATAGTGGGAAAACATTGGTAGCAACTTGCATAACTGCCCAAATGTCAGCTGGCTTTAGTTTGAAATGATGTAGGCCCTATCTGGATGTCTGACATAATGCTTCCATTGATTGCACATTCAAGTAAATATTCACATGTAAATTATAAAGTAATATTTTGTTAATTGTATACTAATGGACCCAGTATATAGCTATTTCATGCCAGGTTATAGCTATCCATTCACAGAATAATTAATTCAGTGGAGAAAAACAACACACCTTGTGAAAGAAATCTGAACGCTACTGGGTGGTTGTGATGATACTCCGCCTTAGTAGGTGGCACTATAGCCAGTGCATGCAGAGTATCATACGGGTTTCGGACAGGCGAAGAAGAGTTCCACTTCCGGAAATCACATCATCGACACGATAACATCAACATAGTTTTATTAGCTAGCTACCTAACGTTAAAAAGTATAAAAACTATACATTATTGGATTGCCGCTTAGCTAAGAATAGGGTATGAATTAACAGTTTGGGATCGACTTCTCATCGGTCAAGTGTGACGGTAAGTTTACTGATCAAATCTAGGTCTGTGCTCGCTGGTTAAACCTGCTAGCCAGCTAACGCGTAGTAGCTAGCTAAGCTTGAAGCTGGCTACTTGCTTTTACTTTTCAAGATTTCGGTTTATCATGAAAGTGTGATGTTAGCTAGCTATATACACTATAGATATTTGGTATTTTCCCGTGGTATTTTATAATAAACGCCGACTTAACTAGTTGGTTTTAGCGAATCCATGAAGAAATCGTTGAACGTCAATGTAGCTAACGTTAGCTAACTCGCCATCCAGTCTGCTAGCTAAATTGAGTTTACTAATGTGCTGCCAGAGTATTTAAGTTATATGGTTTGCTACATTAGCTAGTTGTTCAGTTTGGCCTGTTGTCGTTAGCTAACTTTACCTCACTAGAATCCCTTTGATTGGCATACTGGAATGCCTTTGATTGACAGCTAGTGTTGTAAGCGGTCACTGGGTTAAAGTCGTTATGTAGTTTTGTATAACGAGAACTGCCTGGCTCGTTTAGGCAAGGCCAATTAACGTTACAGTAACTTGTTTATTTCTTGCTGTAACTCTGACAGTGGTCCAAAATGGCTTAATTTTCTCTAGGAGAGGAAGCCATTTTAGACTGATGCATACCCTGGCTGTGTGTCAACGGACCAGGAGCCATGCTAATATTTATCTCTCTCTGTGGTTGAATGGTCAGGCTCAGCATGTACACGTCAGGAAAGTACAGTTCACGGGGCCCAGCTCTGATTCCACGGATGAAGACCAAACACCGCATCTACTACATCACCCTGTTCTCTGTGGTGCTGCTGGGACTCATCGCCACAGGGATGTTCCAGTTCTGGCCACACTCCATCGAATCAACGGCAGACTGGAGCCTGGACCGACGCAGCGTGCACGATGCACCTCTAGTCCGACTGCCTGTGTCCAACCCTATTCCTGAGAGGGGGGACCTTAGCTGCCGAATGCACACTTGTTTTGATGTGTATCGATGTGGCTACAACCCTAAGAATAGAATCAAGGTGAGCCTATTCTCCATCCATCACACACCACAAATTACAGATATGTGAACTTTGTTTTATCTGCTATTCTTGGTCTCTGAACCTTGTCTTTTTAACCACATGATTGAAGGCTTGAAGGATGTTATAAATCAAACAGCAGTATAGTGGACCATCAGAAATGACTGTGTGTGTCTGTCTGGCAGGTGTACATCTATCCCCTGCAGCGTTTTGTGGATGAGGTAGGAGTGCCCATCAGCAGCACAGGCCTGTCCCGAGAGTACAATTACCTGCTCAGTGCCATCTCCGACAGTGAGTTCTACACTGACGACGTCACCAGGGCATGCCTGTTCGTCCCCTCTATCGATGTGCTCAATCAGAACTCTCTGCGCATTCGGGAGACTGCCCAGGCTCTGGCCATGCTCCCCAGGTAACCTTTCCTGCACACTGCTCGGGTTGCACTGTTATCTCCTCCACCCCAAAGCTGGGAATTCTCTCTTCATATGTATTTATCCTTCTTTACCCTCTCTGTCATTCTTCCTCTCCCCTCTCTCGTCTACTACATTGATCTATCCGCCCATTTCAGATATCTAAGTGCACACATTTGAAGGTTTTTGACCCCTAAAGATGTATGTTTCCAGGTGGGACAAAGGGATGAACCACCTTCTGTTCAACATGTTACCTGGAGGACCTCCAGACTACAACACAGCCCTTGATGTGCCAAGAGACAGGTAACACTAATAAACCCAGCACAGAAAAAAGAAAGTCAATTACAATTAATATAGTTGGATAAACTCACATTTTAGTTTTTTGGTTCATCAATCAACCTTGACATTCCAGCTAATATTGTTTGTTAGCAGAGTTGCTACCAGGCATATTTTGTTCTACCGAGACCACCACTAGAGGGAAGCATGGCGTTAACTTAGCTTTCAGTTTTCCTTACATGTCCTTAGTCTGATGTTATGTTCAGAGAATAGTATTATTATTATTTTTTACATTTTTGTTAAGTTGACTCATAGTTTTCCCCCTCCATTTTATGTAGTTTAACTTGACTAGATAATCCAGATTCAATTCCATCTTTTATCTCCAACACAACTACAGAACGTGCATATAATTACAGGGTGGCTTGAAAAATATTAAGCTAAGAAGAAAGTAGTACTTAAAAGTAGTCCAGAGATGACAGAACCTCTAGCGGCTTTGAGCGGGCAGACATGCCTAATCTCCTGGTATTTACTGCCACAGAGAGAGGCCATGTTTCCCAGCCTTGCTCTTGGCCGCTCACTCCTTTTGGGTGGAAAAGGTGGGTTTTATGAACAGAAAGCCCTGAGACGATGAACACTTATCTGGAGCTGTAGGGAATTTCCTGGGCTCATCCAGCTGTGCTCCATTTGGCGTGGGGCCTCATCAGAACCAGCTGTGTGTGTATATATAGGCCTGTGTGTGTGTGAGTGAGGTGTGTGTGTGAGTGCTTGCATGCACAGGTAGGACGCCATAAAGATTGTTCGTCAGTTAACTATTACATTCACAGATTTACAAAAGGATGACGTTTAGGCAGCCTCCTTTTGTTCCATGCGAATACTTCTCAAGATCGTCATGTTACTCAATAGCGTTGTTAAGCAGATATGACAAGAAACAGCCAGGGCATATGCACATCTGTCATGTATTGTCTTGCAGCAAAGTTCTATATAGCTGTCTCTTCTCTCCGTCTTAAGTATGTAAGCCTATGTGACAGTGGTGTAACATTGGATACGTTTTGTGTGTGTGTTCTAGGGCTCTGCTTGCAGGGGGAGGCTTCTCCACGTGGACCTACAGGCAGGGTTATGACGTCAGCATCCCTGTGTACAGCCCTCTGTCTGCAGATGTGGAGCTGCCCGAGAGACAGCCTGGGTGAGCAGCAACACCACCGCCACCCTGGTTCAGCACCTAGCATAGGGCTCTTATCACTTCCTCAAGCAAGACAACAGGCATCCTCACTTCATGTGACAGTGGGAACATTTGTGAAGTTATCTTGTCGAGTCACCATCATCACTCACAGTTTTCCACTATTTCTAATGTTGTCCCGGCTGCAGGCCCCGGCGCTACTTCATCCTGTCGTCTCAGACGGCCATCCACCGTGAGTACCGGGCAGAGCTGGAGAGGCTGAAGGAGGAGAACGGGGAGGCCCTGCTCCTCCTGGACAAGTGCAGCAACCTCTCTCAGGGAGCTGCCTCAGCTAGGAAACGCTGCTACAAGGGCCAGGTGTTCGACTACCCCCAGATCCTCCAGGTGAGACCCACACAGAGACCCTCTACCGTTCAGACTAGACTAACATGTACACACACTTGTAGACATTATACAGCTTAGGGGGAAATGTTTAACATAGATCTGCATGGCCATTATCAGACTTTAATGCATTTAAGAGGGCTCTGCTCAGCTGTGTAGGTCAACTCTAAGAGTTAGCAGTCTATTTATGTGGGTAACTTAATGCGGGGTATACCTGGGAAACTCTACAGCAATATCTGTGACAGTCAGTCAACCGGTGTGCCTCTGCACTGTCTGTCTGCTCAGAGTGCATCTCCAGCCCATCCCTGGCCTGTCTAGACAGGAAGTGCGCTTATCATGTGGTCTGGGTGCAGCGTGGCCGCACATCTGGCAGACGTCCCACCAAGGAGAGGGCCTGGAAGGGTGGAGGTTGTGGGAGGGGTTGTGGTGGCAGAATCTCAGTGAAAGCACCCCCCTTATCCTCCACCTCTGAAAGTGGAAAGGTTTGCCAGAAGTGATGCCTGAATTTTAGAAGAATATTTAGGGTTGCCTGCTTTTATCCTTTTAACATCTGTAAGTAGTCCACCATAACATTGCCCTCCCCACCCTCAACTCTTCCATATGGGAGGCAACCTTGACAGTTCATGCAGTCATTTTATCAGACTCTGACCAAACACAAGCTGCCCACTAATATTGTGTTAGTCTGTTTTTGACCCGTCTAAGCTTCCTTAGTTTGGAGACAGCTATGTCATAAAACCATGTACCTTTGATATGTCTATGATACCTTGTGGTAATCTGTGTTGTCTGTGTTCCCCAGGAGTCGTCGTTCTGTGTGGTGCTGCGCGGGGCTCGGCTGGGACAGGCCACCCTCAGTGATGTGCTGCAGGCTGGCTGTGTCCCTGTCATCCTAGCAGACTCCTACATCCTGCCCTTCTCTGAGGTCCTCGACTGGAAGAGGTACGCTAAAGACACCGCTCATGATCTCACTCCAACCAACTTCAACACATATATCAGCATTACATTTTCTGAGCTCGTATTGTGATTTCTGATCTAGTTTAATACCAGTGGATGTTTTTGCCATTGACATAGAGACTGACTGATATTTTTCTTTCTTTGTTTTGTGGTGTGTGTATTGTACAGGGCATCCGTGGTCATTCCAGAGGAGAAGCTCCCAGAGATGTACACGATCCTGAAGAGTATCCCTCACAGGCAGGTGGAGGAGATGCAAAGACAGGTAACAGTCAGATCACATCTTTTCTTCAGCTAACATTCAAATAGACTGAATCCCTTTGCTGGGGATTTTTTATGCACATACAGTGAGGGAAAAAAGTATTTGATCCCCTGCTGATTTTGTACGTTTGCCCACTGACAAAGACATGATCAGTCTATAATTTTAATGGTAGGTTTATTTGAACAGTGAGAGACAGAATAACAACAAAAAAATCCAGAAAAACGCATGTCAAAAATGTTATAAATTGATTTGCATTTTAATGAGGGAAATAAGTATTTGACCCCCTCTCAATCAGAAAGATTTCTGGCTCCCAGGTGTCTTTTATACAGGTAACGGGCTGAGATTAGGAGCACACTCTTAAAGGTAGTGCTCCTAATCTCAGCTTGTTACCTGTATAAAAGACACCTGTCCACAGAAGCAATCAATCAATCAGATTCCAAACTCTCCACCATGGCCAAGACTAAAGAGCTCTCCAAGGATGTCAGGGACAAGATTGTAGACCTACACAAGGCTGGAATGGGCTACAAGACCATCGCCAAGCAGCTTGGTGAGAAGGTGACAACAGTTGGTGCGATTATTCGCAAATGGAAGAAACACAAAAGAACTGTCAATCTCCCTCGGCCTGGGGCTCCATGCAAGATCTCACCTCGTGGAGTTGCAATGATCATGAGAACGGTGAGGAATCAGCCCAGAACTACACGGGAGGATCTTGTCAATGATCTCAAGGCAGCTGGGACCATAGTCACCAAGAAAACAATTGGTAACACACTACGCCATGAAGGACTGAAATCCTGCAGCGCCTGCAAGGTCCACCTGCTCAAGAAAGCACATATACATGCCTGTCTGAAGTTTGCCAATGAACATCTGAAAGATTCAGAGGAGAACTGGGTGAAAGTGTTGTGGTCAGATGAGACCAAAATCGAGCTCTTTGGCATCAACTCAACTCGCCGTGTTTGGAGGAGGAGGAATGCTGCCTATGACCCCAAGAACACCATCCCCACCGTCAAACATGGAGGTGGAAACATTATGCTTTGGGGGTGTTTTTCTGCTAAGGGGACAGGACAACTTCACCGCATCAAAGGGACGATGGACGGCGCCATGTACCGTCAAATCTTGGGTGAGAACCTCCTTCCCTCAGCCAGGGCATTGAAAATGGGTCGTGGATGGGTATTCCAGCATGACAATGACCCAAAACACACGGCCAAGGCAACAAAGGAGTGGCTCAAGAAGAAGCACATTAAGGCCCTGGAGTGGCCTAGCCAGTTTCCAGACCTTAATCCCATAGAAAATCTGTGGAGGGAGCTGAAGGTTCGAGTTGCCAAACGTCAGGCTCGAAATCTTAATGACTTGGAGAAATCTGCAAAGAGGAGTGGGACAAAATCCCTCCTGAGATATGTGCAAACCTGGTGGCCAACTACAAGAAACGTCTGATCTCTGTGATTGCCAACAAGGGTTTTGCAACCAAGTACTAAGTCATGTTTTGCAGAGGGGTCAAATACTTATTTCCCTCATTAAAATGCAAATACATTTATAACATTTTTGACATGCGTTTTTCTGGATTTTTGTTGTTATTCTGTCTCTTACTGTTCAAATAAACCATTAAAATGATAGACTGATCATATCTTTGTCAGTGGGCAAAGGTACAAAATCAGCAGGGGATCAAATACTTTTTTCCCTCACTGTATAGGGATATGCCAGGTCGCAGTTGTAAATGAGAACTTGTTCTCAACTGGCTTACCTGGTTAAATAAAGGTAAAAATAAAATGAAAAACTCTTTATAGAGTTGTAGTAATAGTCTATTTCCAGATGAATAAACCTCAGGAGAAAGTGCCTCCTGCCCTCTCAGGTTAAGTTATGTTGAAGGCGGGGTCAAAGGAGTTGTGACTTTCACGCTCCCATTCCAACCTGTGCCTCACTGTCAGCCCAATGGAAGCCATAACACAGGCAGTCTGAAGGGTTAGACAGACATGTTGTAATGAGCCCTTAGGACTGGAGTTTCTGTCCTGTTGTCAGTTTGGATTGTCTCCTCATGTTCCCAATCTTGATTAAAAAGCTCTTATAAAGGTTCTTCAGTGTTAGTTTCAGTCGCAGCCAAATCAATGACAAGTCCCCTCTTTTCACTGGTCCAACTGAGCCTCAATAAACAGAAGTGAAAGCCCTCTGAGAGAGTTCTGCACGTCCAAGCTGTTTCTCATTCCCTTGTATCAACGCTAGTCCATTTACCAATTAGACTGGCCAAACAGACATATTAGACCCACAGCTCAGAGACCCTGTTGGAGTTCTTTCATTTGCCCTGCCTAGAACATGGCTTCCCTTGGGGGCCGCCTCCTGTCTCTGTTGCTGTGTGGATCTGAAATGCTTATCCACTGCTCTTAGTGTTTCTGTCAGTCTGTCTAGGGCTTGGAATTTAGCTATGATATGTGTAATCAGTTGTCTTCCATAGCTGCAGGCATGTCAGGAAAGGGTTCTCATTAGAGATGAGGACTGATGATAAGGGGAAGGATTTTAGTTTGTTTGGGTTAAAACAAATACTGATAATAAACATTTTATCAATTCACTGGAGATCAGAGGAACACAACAAAATTATATTGGTCTGAGTTGAGTAGTGAGTACATCTTAAGCCAGGGGAATGTGAGGGGTAGGTATGTCACTGTGCCGTGTGCGTGCCTGTGGCCCCTGCAGGACTGACGGGAGGAGGGTGTTGGAGCCCGGCTCAGGACGTGTAAGGGTGGGGTGGGGCCGGAGCACAAAGGCCCATCTTATCCAGGATTTATAGGGTGCTGTAGCGCCCATTCCATATCAGTCCACACCTGCACACATCTGGAGAGACTCCTCACTCACACTCACATTCACTGGCTGGAGAGGAGAGGACACTGGGAATCACTGAGCTGGTCCCCATAGTATAGACAACACATTGTCAACTAAAACTCATTTTGACGTGTGCAATATTATGTAGTATGTTTTTTTTTTTTTAGGACATGATTTTCTATATTAAATATTTTTTATAAGAGCTGTAGGGACATAACATTTTTTCCTGATTGATCTTATTTAAGAGCTGAAGTGAAGTATTTACTGACTGTCCAACAGAGGGCCTAACTAGTCTGATTTCACACGCTGTCCTCTTCAATCCTTTATGGGCTTAAAAGGTCTCTGACCATATGTCTAGTGTGCCTAAAATACACATAGGCTGCGTTTAGACAGGCAGCCCAATGCTGATCTTCTTTTCACTAATTGGTCTTTTGACCAATCACATCAGCTGTGAACAAGATCTGATTTGAAAAGATCTGATGTGATTGGTCAAAACACCAATTAGTGGAAAAAAAGATCAGAATTGGGCTGCCAGTCTAAACGCAGCCTTACTCATGACTCCATGTCAGCTTTGATTGACTATCTGTATGATTTACTAAGTCCTCAATTGAAGGATAATTGGGTAATTGAGGAGACATTCTGTTAACTTATACAGGGCCTCACAACTAAGGTCAAATATAAAAACTCCTAATCCATCAGTAGCCAGCAGCATCATTTCAGGAGATAGTTTTTTTTCTTCAACATGTGATGTGGTAGCATCGACATAGGTCCCAAATTGGGAGCTAAGTGCTTAACAGCTGCTAAATGTTAGCGGTGGTCAACTCAGGCATTCCTGTGAGCCTTGTTTGGTTCAGACCCTAGGAATAGAATACATGCATGCTTTGTTAGATCAGTACAGCTAAAATGAGTACTTCTCAATCACAGGGCTGCAGCTATAGTACCAAGCCTAATGTAAACCTGTCTGAACCCTCCCTGTCTAAAAGGAGTTGACAGACAGCAGAGTATAGCTAGAGAAAGAGATGGTAGACTGGGTTGTTCCCTTGAACCTGGTCCTGAAAGTCTGGCATCTAGTTTGGTTTCTGTCACACAGTAACCACTATTGATGATCAGTTGAGTGTCATCTTGGTAATACTACAATGTCCTCCTAAGCAAGTTTGTGCTAAACAAAGAATCGTTGACATGACAATTTTACTTTTACCCGATTTTTATATCTTATTAAGAGGCGCTAGTAATTACATTTATTTTAGTTGCAGTAGCAAAGGTTAGCCAAATCAGTTTTGAATTCATGGATGTTGTTTATGGTCCAAGTTCAAGCACACCTCAAAGAGAATTCAGCCTACTTAGCCCAGCGAGGTATCTTAGAGGAAGGGAACGACAGTGCTGCAGTGAAGCAGACCGCTCTGCCCTTTTCCTCTCCTCCTCTCCTGTGACTCTGTCTCTTCTTCTCTCCTCATAAAAATTCCTGCAGGGGCTGGGGCAGGGCCTCTTGGGCTGGAGCAGTTTGCTTTTTGCCTCCTCCCAGTCGGAAAGGGAACTTTCATCACTGGCTGATTTATGGGCCGTTGTGGTCCCCCTGAGATTAGAAAGTATTTTTGAATGCTCCTCACCCCCTCCATAAAAAAATAAAAGCTGTTTTTGTATTTCTCTAGTGTTAAAGGGGACTAAGGGATAGAGTGGGGGCTGGTCCCTTCTCATGTGCCGCTGAGAGCTCTCTGTAGACGATACGACAACAAACACACCAGTCAATAGGACAAGCTGCTCCACTGCTATGAAGGACAGAGCCCTGTAGCCAGGCCAAGACTACCACAGCTCTAGCAAAACGGTGTGCTCATTGACTAAGCTGTAGCAGCCTATGCTATCACTGTGTTTGCTGCAGTGCAGTTTTCATTTTGTGCACTGTTGTTGTTGTCCATTCCTCTCTGGATCCTCCTCTGTTCCTAATCCCAAACAGGGGAGAACCTCTTCAGCTGTGGGTGTTATTCTCACCCAACAAATATGCTACAAATATCTTGAGTTTCTGGCTGTGGGAATAGTTTCCAGGGTGTGCTCTGGCTAACCAGTCAAATGTCTGTTGGAGTTAAGGGGTCCAGTATGGTCTAGACATTGTGTTTACAGGCTGCTTAACAAATAGCACCCTATTTCATATATAGTACACTACTTTAACCCCCCCCCCCCCCCGCTTGTTAAAGAGTGCTGCACTCAGGGTCACCTAAGACCTGTCGAGGTGGAGTCGGGTCACACTGACATGGCGCCTCCTGGCAGGAGACAGTTCTGTTTTAAGGATCAGTAACTCTTATGGGCTCCTCTCCCTCCATAGCTGTCCCTTGATGTCTCTTAATGGATCAGTGGGAGGGGAGCACCAGGGACGCTGGGGTGCTGCCTGGGGATGGTGGACTAGTAACATCTGCATTGAAATATGATTGACTGCTCGGCTACACCTTCCCCTCTGGTACTGTAATGCTCCTTGTTGTTACCATGGACTGGTAGTGAATTGACTAAAAGTACATTTCTGATGCACAACTAGAGGTAGATGCGTACGTAGTTTGCATACATCTTGGATCAAACGTATTATAGTCCCAATGGGCCTATCTATATTGCCTTAGGTAGGGGTTCCCAACCAGCTTTAATAGGACCCGTATGGGTACTTGGCCTATCCACAGGGGGTACTTGAGAAGACTTATGAGACCATAGGCTTACTGGTCAAATGCACATGAGGGGGTACTTCAGGGGAACTCTGGGCAGAGCAAAATTCAGTTGGTGGTACAGTAACCGAAAAAGGGTTGGGAACCACTGGCCAAAAGGTTGATATTTGGCTGCACTGTGCTTTGAAAGGCAGGTGAGCTGTAGAAAGTATTGGCCTGCTGTAGGACAGATGATGTTAAAGAGATTCTAACCATCTAGAACAGTCCTTCCTGTTCTCGAGTCACAGGGATGCCTTTTGAATGTGTGTGTTCAAGGACATAACAGCTTGTTTGTTTGTCCAGAGTCCAGACCATATGTTTTTATTCCAATAACAACTCTGTCCTTCTCTCTCCTCAGTCCCGCTGGTTCTGGGACGCTTACTTCAGCTCCATGAAGGCCATCGGCATGACAACGCTTCAGATCATCAATGACCGCATCTACCCCTATGCTGCACGCTCCTACGAACAGTGGAACAACCCCCCTGTGGTGGTGAGGATACCTCTAGTTGGTATTTCTTTAAAGAGTGGAAAGATGTGTTTTAGGCTAGATGTGTTCAACATGATTGGATACATCAAAAGTCTTCCACTGGAGCCTGCTATAATCTATGCCCCTCGAGCCTACACCATTGATAATGTTATTGTGTTTTACTGTGGTTACCCACTGAATCTTCTTAGACATACGAGTCATATTTATGGGGGTGCAGTCTGCAGTGTGGTATTGATGTGTGACCTGACACTACGGTGCTGGCCTCACAAAACAGAAAAACACAGTGACCGACTCCCACAGTGGCAGATATGAAACAGTTTTCCCAGCATGCTGTATTTCCCTGGTAAGTCTTTCCCAGAGTATTGGCCGAGTGGCAGGGCAGCTTCCTCCTCTTTATAGCGCCCTCTCTCCACACATGTAGCCTAGCCTAGTGGTCTTTGGCTGCTTGGTAAACACCCAGTACTGCTGAAACAGCCAGTGAGTTTGTGTCAGCAGTTCTGTACTGGGAGGATGCCTCCAGTGCGGTGAAAAATACGTGCCTTAGTGTTTGAGTCATTGTGTGTATGTGCGTGAGAGAGAGAGGGAACACTGTTTAAGGAGAATGGAGGGCGGCGCTGCATGTGGTGTCTTTGGGGACTGCAGCACACACATTCTCCTTAAACAGTGTTCTCTCGCTCTCTCACGCACGTGTGTGTGTGTGTGTGTGTAACCTCTCTGTGGTTGTGGGAGTGTGGGGATGCAGACAGCTTGGCTCAGCTACCACCTCTCAGGGGCTGTTAATCAGCCCAGCCTGATCTGCTGCAGTCCCCAAAGACACCACATGCAGCTCCGCCCTCCATCTATCCCTACCTCCTCCCTCTGTCTGTCTGTCTGTCTGTCTGTGGGGTAGAGAAGGGGGGCCCATGTTCCTCCTTATTGGACAGGCCTACCCAGTCCTACCAATGGTTGGTGATATGTGAGCCAGTCAGGTTATGTTGGTCTGAACAAGTCAAGTCACACTGACTCTGACTAAAGTTATGTTTACAACGCTTGGCTTCTCAGAGTAATTCAAAGCTCTACAACACTTTAGGACTAAGGACTTTTTACTCAAGCAACTGCTCAATCACAGCCAGTATTGCCTTTTTTTTGGAGCGGGTAGCTGGTTAATCAACAGTTACACTTGACATTACCCACCTCTCTCTGTCAGAAACTCCTGTCTGCTTTTTTTCCCAACTAATCGTCATCATTTATGTCTGCTGTCTCGGTCCCAGCGCACAAGAGGTTAATTGTGCAGGGCCACAGACCCATTACCATTCCAATGCTGGAGAAGTGCTATCTCTACGTATTCAGTGGAAACACGTCGAGCAGAATTGGAACAGAACACTAAATAAATCAAGCAGGTTTTTTTTTTCTCTGCTGTTCTGTATCCTTCGTTCGGGGTCATAATTGAAAGCACATTTCACAGGCTCTTTGCTAGTAGCAGTGCCTTTAGAAGGGTTGTCAGGCTAGGGTGGGACAGACGGGCTGCTTTTTGTTTGGCAGTAGTGGGCATAGTTGTAAGACAGGTAATCCTGTTCCGCCTTTGAAAGGTGGTTGAAGGTTTTTAAGATACTTTGTATCTTAGGGGTCTTTCATATCAAATTGGTTTGGAGTGGGGGGTTTTTTCTGAACTCTGGCACTTTTTCGCTCTTAGTTCGGTTCGTTTGGACTGGTGTGAACCCTCCATGCTTGGGAGTGCTCTAAACAACGCATCGTGGTTTGCTAAAAAAAACGTGGTCTCGGTCCAATTAATTACACCTTTCATAGTAATGAATATTCATGGTAAATGGGAACTGATTATTTATTTAGCTTGACCTTTGGTTTCTAGAGGACATCTAACATTTCCATTTAGGCTAAGTCGGGGCTTGTTCAGTGGTTTAAATGGGCCAAGAAACCTGGCCAGACAATTCCTTCACTGGCAGAGAGCAGATGCCTGCACTGTGAATGTGCTCATATCAGGACTCTTGAGAAGATGTGACGGCTGCACTATCTCTGCTTCTCCTAATCCCTGGTAGGCAATCATCACTCACATTATTCTGATCCAACAGTTTTCTGTCCATCAACTTCAAAGTCCAGGGATGGAATTCAAATCTTTCTCAATAGAACCAACCGGCAACCTCACTTCGATCTGGGTTCCATTTTGGCCTTACTCGCTGTTTTGACACACGCATGCATACATGTATGTGCATCCACACACACACACACACACACACACACACACACACACACACACACACACCACACAAATCAAAGGCCCCATGCTGGCTAGATGGACTTGCTGCCAGTCATCACTGAAGCGGCTGTTAGGAAAGGGAAAGGGGGATAACTAGTCAGTTGTACAACTGAATGCATTCAACTGAAATGTGTCTTCTGAATTTAACCCAACCCCTCTTACTCCCACTTCACCTTGGGAAATCATTTGTTATTGAGTAGAAAACACTGTGTTTGTCCAAAACATTCAAATGCCACGTTGGTCTAAATGCTGCATTATGAGGATGTTTACATGGATTTGCGTTGATCTACTTTTCCAAACACTACCGCAATAATGTGTAGCCTAAATCCCCCAAATGGCTGCATGTTTCCGTTTGTGGAAATTGAGCATTGGAACCAGTGAACTCATTTTAACTGAGCTAATTAACATCGGAGAAGTGGCTGTCTTTCTTTCATCCTGTTTCTTTCATTTGACTAATGACTTAAGTGGTCCCTTTCCTCATCTATTCATCTCACCACTTATGTGTCACCGTGTTACTTTCATTATTTCCCCTCTGCTTGTATGTAAGTGTCACACCACCACAGAGACGTTTCCATTTGCTAGTAAAGTTGTTATTGATTTTTATTGGTGAGGAATGACTGATGTAGGGTATATAGGGTGACCATGTTTATGGTGACAGACATGGTGGACGCTGTTGGAAGAGCCACAGAAACACCAGTCTGTTTGGAACCACCTGCCTACAGCAGAACAGAGAAGCACTTCAAGAAGCCCACAGTTTTATTTCAAATCTCCATTCCCTCCCTATGAGGTTAGAACATCTCTCTAGTGGCAGGTCTGGAGGCTATGGGGGGCCTTTGATACAGTTTGATTAAGTCAGCTGCAACCTCCTTTATTTGAGAATGCTACTGTTGTAGTGTTTGACAGTTAATTAAGGGTTAAAACCACATAATAACATAATGCTACTGCTATCAGAGAACGGAAGCGTTGAAGTTGACACTGTAGATGATCTAACCTGCATTGTAGGCCACTTTAAGCTGCTGCAGTGAGTCCCTTCTGTGTCGCATGTCCACAAATTGTTACTGTTGTGTAATCACATTACTCAAAATGTCAATTGTTGTCTATATGTTAGTTTAGAGGTCTGGATTGAGTGTGTGTGTGTGTGTCTTCTTGTGTGTGTCACTGCATCAGAGGGCTCTCTGCACTGCCAGTATTTCTTTTACAGCGTCACTTGATCTAGGCTAGGGCCTGTGCATCTTCCAGAGTTAACGGGCCATTTTAAGACGGGGCCAGGAAGAGGAGCCAAGTCCCACACTGGCAGTAGACAGCCGCCGACACCGTTGCCTACGTCCCCCTCTCTCTCCCCTGCCCCGCTAGAACTCATCTGGACCCCTGCTGCATGGAGCTCACCAGAGCTTCATGATAAAACACCCTTATAACATCCCAAAGGAGCAGTGTAGAAACCGCAGTAGAGGCCAAGACTGCCACTTCTTCGAAATCGTCAAAAAAATCTATTGCCAAGTCATAGTGTGTGGACTCAATTTACACACGTACCTGAGATGAGGGTGGAGCTTCGCATGCAAAACATAATTGACTGCTCTTTGTCTGTCGTCTGTCTGTCTGTCTTACACACTCTCTAAGCTGTGCTCCTGAAGCAGCTCAGCTACCGCTCGGTTTTTATAGTGTGCTTGGCATTCCAGACCACTTCTCGCTGGGTGCCTGGCATTCCCGGTTGTGAGTCTATTAATCTTTAAAATAAATGAATAGATGATTCCTGTTCCCTTGTAAAACCATCGTCTGGAAATCACTGCAGGTGACCTCACTGCTGAATCAAGCAATGGAAAACGTGCCACGGGCCAGGATGGCAGACAGATGAAGCTAGCTAGGCATACGTCTGCATTGTAGGAGACTGATTCTAAACTTTGCTTTTGTGTTTATTCTCTTGTCCTCTGTAGAAGTGGTCGAGTGTGAACAGCCCCCTGTTCCTGCCTCTCATCCCACCGAGGTCCCCTGGGTTCACTGCTGTGGTGCTGACCTATGACCGCATCGAGAGCCTCTTCCGGGTCATCACTGAGATCTCCAAGGTTCCCAGCCTGGCCAAGCTACTGGTGGTGTGGAACAACCAGAACAAGAGTCCCCCTGACGGTGAGCCCTAGGCTGTATTCATTAGCGCACACCGTAGCATAACATTTTGCTACAGAACACTTAAAAAATAAAAATAATAATACGTTTCTTATTGGACAGGTTCAGGTAGTGCCTCTCCATTTTGGTAAATGTTCTTCTGTTTGGTTTCTAGTGAATACACCCCTGATTCTGACCCTCCCTTCCCTATACTGTTCATTAAAAACCATTATTGATTCAAATATTAACCTTAAACAAGCACACCAGCAATAGGAGTTTACATGAGTTAACCTTTTCAGTGACAGCGATGATGCCATATTGGATATTCAACAATGGGACATTAGTGTTCTGTCAGATTGCCTTACTTCATAGCTACCATAGAGTCCAAATCAATGTTATCTTTGTTTAGAGATTGACTAAAGTTGGCAGATCGATACACACAAGGAATGGGAAAGTGGCTGAACACTCCAAGTTAACTGCCAACTTGATGAGAGAAGAAGTGAAGGTTATATCACCATGCCATTGTTTAATACCCAAAATGGAGCTCTTGATGTGTACCAGATGAGTGATAACGGCTTCAGCAGCCAAGACCCATCTCTCCATAAGTTTAGACACTGAAAAGCATGACATGCTCGAGGCTGGAGCCAAACCTCTCTCTGGCTTTGCTTCATGTTGAGAATCAGGAAACTGGAGCAACTCCGTGGCATGTTGCCACCAGTCGGACAGATAAAAATCCCCCTACCCACACCCACTCGGTGCTGCAGCAGCAATCTCATTCTAACCTTCAGATGTCAACAGGTCTCCTCGGTACTGGCAAGCCAGACGACGTAGAGGCCTTTCATTCATGTTGATATACTGTCCTCTTACACCACACCTACAGACACTCCACTTCATCAAACAGAGTGCAGTGTTCTGCTAGTGCTGCCTGTCTGTCCTACCGCCACAGCCCTCATTTACAGCCCATTAGAGATGTGTCAGAGTAAGCTGATATTAGTCATTATTTATGTGGCTTTCGCTCTAATGATTCCTCTTAACGAGGCGATTAGGTATGCAGCTGTTTATGGCGCCCCTTATCACTGACAGCTCAGGGGACGGCAGGGAGAGAGCAGGGAATTAAATCTATCCTCTGCATAGAGTTGTGTAATGTAATGAAGCAGCGGGCCACTTTGAAGCTCCCTCTAATGGCCCAGTGTAGCCTTTGATTAGAGGCGTCAGTGGAGCCTGGCTGGAGCTTTGTGACCCATTAGAATTAACAAGGGGCCGTTCACGGGTCAACTAGGGGCCTTTGCTTGGGATGAGGATGGATTTCCTCCTCATCCTCACAAGGCCTGATTGTGTTTATTTCAAGCAGCCCTAAGCTGCCTCCTCAAGTCCTGCACGTTTGGCATTTTAACAAGGTGCTGCTGGCAGCTTAAGTCTTAGAATTGTATTATTTTATCTTAGTGCTCTATGTTGGACTTTATCTTCTGCTTCTGACATGCACAGAGATTGTACTGTTTGGTTGTCATGATTAACTTGATAGTTTATTTGTTCACTCATACAATCTTAGCGTTATGACCTGAAGTGACCTGTTTTTCACATCGGTCTAAGACCGTCATGAATGTCGAGTGAGTGCGTGTCTCTATCATTCTTCCACTATCCTCCCTCCCCTCCATCTCGGTCTGTTTCTCATAAACAGCTAACCCTGCCCTGGCTAGTTGGGAGTCCCCTAATAGCTGCAGTGCATGGAGACGGAGGTAACTACAGTAGAGATGGGGACTGCAGCAGGATTCTGTTCTTCTATAGTGGAGAGGATCTCTGCTGGTTAGCCCTGGAGAAGTCAGAAAAGTAGATGGGCTTCCAGCAGCCAGAAATTGTTGTTTCAGTTTGTGTGTTCAAACCGATGCCAAAAGAAAAGGCCAGGCTCAATCTGTACAATCAGAGCTAAGCTAATAACCTATGTTAGGTGATTTCCCCCTGCACTGCACTCATCTCCCAGCACTCATCTCCCAGCTCATGTTTGGAAAAGAGAGTGGTGGTGGGGGGAGGGGAGCGCTTGAATATATCACAGCAGGTCTCTCGTTGACAGTTTAGTGTGGAGACGTTCAGAGCTCGTCGGTCAGTTGGGAGCGCCGCCTGCCTGTCAGACCCCAGTTAAAGCCTTAATGGGGTGACACATTCTGTGCCATCTGTCTGACACTGCTCCGTGCCATGGACACTTCCCAAGCTCACTAAACACTACTTTTAAAAAAGCTAACTTTGTTGCTCTGCCTTGAGAGGAATCTTGGTGTGGTCAGGCTTGCACATGATTCAAGTTGGCGTTGCGATTCAAGTCAGTGATTGTAGTTTTACTGCTAGCACACTGTTTTCCACTAGGATTGCCATTTTGAAATGTCTCCCTTGATGGCAACCCAACTCCACTCATCTCCAACTGAAGTCTAGATGTTAGTTTGACCTATAAAACTGGCAGTCTAATTTGATGTGGTAGGTGATGCAATATACAGTATACTGTCAGATTTGGAATGTGAGGAAATCATTTTCATAGTTAATGTCTTGCAGCTTTTCAAGGATCACACAGTGTTAACTGACCCATTTGCCAAGGCCTCCATTGCATTGATAGTATGGATTTTATATGACCTGTCTGTACAATGTAGGCGTATCTCACTCATATTCCCATTGTCTCTGTCCCTCTGTTAGAGTCTCTATGGCCAAAGATTGGCGTACCTCTCAAGGTGGTGCGCACCAAAGAGAACAAGCTCAGCAACCGCTTCTTCCCCTACGACGAGATCGAGACGGAGGCTGTGCTGGCCATCGATGACGACATCATCATGCTGACGTCTGACGAACTGCAGTTTGGCTACGAGGTGAGAGAGAGGATACTCTGTATCTCGCCTGGGAGTTTTCACCCCAAATGTTTCACCTTGACCTTGGGCTTAGTACATTCATACTCCCTTGATGGCAGGTCAACGCTGGCCACTTAGAGATAACCCCAGAGTTTAAACTCATCCAGGGAGCTTAAGTCGGCCTCCAGTAGTGGTATATGGGCTGCCTGGGGCTGGAGATGTGTTTGATGTGTGATGGATGGTGACAGGCCAGAGCTGATGCTGTCCATGACTACAGCCCGGCCTGGCACTCACCTGAAGGCATTTAGGACCTATTGAGACAATTGAGGACAATTTGAGGATAATGACATGAAATGAGAGGCAGGTTGCTGTGGGGAAGGAAGTCTGTCTGGCTCTACTGCCTCTCGCTGGGTCCAATAGCAGGACAGGCTGCTGGCTGCTGGGCTCAGGTATCCAGTCTCCACACACTGCTCTGCCCATCACAGACAGGGCATGTAGCCTTCATCTCTTTACAGAGTGAACCTTGGGGCTCAAAGAATCTCAGTGATGGCGGTCTTCTAGCACTACCTTGAAGATGAGAGGAGGCTACTTGGAACGTTTTTAGTGTTGCCTAACTCCAGTAACTTGTAATTTTCCCAAAATTACTGGAAAACCTGGGAATTTGGGGAAAGTGACCAATTTTGCCACCCTAAAGGTATGTGTCTAACCATCTCTTTCCCCCGCCATCCCCCTCAGGTGTGGAGGGAGTTCTCAGACCGGCTGGTGGGGTACCCGGGTCGGCTCCACCTGTGGGACCACGAGATGGGGAAGTGGAAGTACGAGTCAGAGTGGACCAACGAAGTATCCATGGTTCTGACTGGAGCAGCCTTCTACCACAAGGTTAGCCTCAGACAGAACCCCCACCTCCCTCTGTCCCTCTGCCATGCCCAGTATGTGGAGGGGGGCGGGGTTAGGTCACAGAGAGAGAAGAGAGAGAGAGAGAGGGAAGAGTCATAGGTGAGGTTAGGTTATCTGTCTCACCGTCAACCAAAAGCTCTCCTTTTGATTCAAAGCAAATACTTCTGAGAAAACACATCCCTCTATTCAAAGGCATTCTGCTAAGGCAGAGGTTAGACTCATTTATCATATCACGAGTGAGTAGGATGACATAAAAATGTTTAAAAAATGTATTTCAGTATTTATCTGCATTAATGCCGTTTCCACTGCTTGCTGATTTTTGATGTTGAGTGACACTGGCTTCTTTCCTTTCCAGTACTTTAACTACCTGTACACGTACAAGATGCCAGGAGACATCAAGAACTGGGTGGACGCCCATATGAACTGTGAGGATATCGCCATGAACTTCCTGGTGGCCAACATCACTGGCAAAGCCCCCATAAAGGTACAGTACAGTGCACAACGTTCTCACACCACCTGAACACAACAGTCCTACCCAACCCATTATGCTGACATTAGGTCATTAGGGGGTTAAATTCAATATTGGATGTTCACCAGAGCTATGGCTTGCATCCCAAATGGCATTCTTTTCCCTATAATAGTGCACTACTTTTGACCAGAGCCCTATGGTCCCTGGTCCAAGTTAGTGAACTTCCTAGTTAATAGGGTGCCATTTGGGATGGAGCTATTGGTATTAATGGCACCTGTTTGAACTTGTTATCAGTATAAAAGACACCTGTCCACAACCTCAAACAGTCACACTCCAAACTCCACTATGGCCAAGACCAAAGAGCTGTCAAAGGACACCAGAAACAAAATTGTAGACCTGCACCAGGCTGGGAAGACTGAATCTGCAATAGGTAAGCAGCTTGGTTTTAAGAAATCAACTGTGGGAGCAATTATTAGGAAATGGAAGACATATAAGACCACTGATAATCTCCCTCGATCTGGGGCTCCACGCAAGATCTCACCCCGTGGGGTCAAAATGATCACAAGAACGGTGAGCAAAAATCCCAGAACCACACGGGGGGACCTAGTGAATGACCTGCAGAGAGCTGGGACCAAAGTAACAAAGCCTACCATCAGTAACACACTACGCCGCCAGGGACTCAAATCCTGCAGTGCCAGACGTGTCCCCCTGCTTAAGCCAGTACATGTCCAGGACCGTCTGAAGTTTGCTAGAGTGCATTTGGATGATCCAGAAGAGGATTGGGAGAATGTCATATGGTCAGATGAAACCAAAATAGAACTTTTTGGTAAAAACTCAACTCGTCGTGTTTGGAGGACAAAGAATGCTGAGTTGCATCCAAAGAACACCATACCTACTGTGAAGCATGGGGGTGGAAACATCATGCTTTGGGGCTGTTTTTCTGCAAAGGGACCAGGACGACTGATCCGTGTAAAGGAAAGAATGAATGGGGCCATGTATCGTGAGATTTTGAGTGAAAACCTCCTTCCATCAGCAAGGGTATTGAAGATGAAACGTGGCTGGGTCTTTCAGCATGGCAATGATCCCAAACACACCGCCCGGGCAACGAAGGAGTGGCTTCGTAAGAAGCATTTCAAGGTCCTGGAGTGGCCTAGCCAGTCTCCAGATCTCAACCCCATAGAAAATCTTTGGAGGGAGTTGAAAGTCTGTGTTGCCCAGCGACAGCCCCAAAACATCACTGCTCTAGAGGAGATCTGCATGGAGGAATGGGCCAAAATACCAGCAACAGTGTGTGAAAACCTTGTGAAGACTTACAGAAAACGTTTGACCTGTGTCATTGCCAACAAAGGGTATATAACAAAGTATTGAGAAACTTTTGTTATTGACCAAATACTTATTTTTCCACCATCATTTGCAAATAAATTCATAAAAAATCCTACAATGTGATTTTCTGCATTTTTTTTTCTCATTTTGTCTGTCATAGTTGACGTGTACCTATGATGAAAATTATAGGCCTCTCTCATCTTTTTAAGCGGGAGAACTTGCACAATTGGTGGCTGACTAAATACTTTTTTTCCCCACTGTATGTTACTATATCAGTAGGAGCAGTACTAAAACATACACCACATATCAGGAAGCTGAAGGCCATAACTCCAACTCCACAGAGGTGGAAACGTCCCAGAATGGAGCAATATTTGGTTTTTACAGTCCCGTCCTGACAGAGGCTCTGTCTCTGATCAGTTCTCACCCCTCTGTGCCCCCCGATACCTCCCCAATGCAGTGACCGTGTCCAGGTGCACAAGCAGCCCCTAAAGCCCAGCCTTAACCTCTCTTATCTGGGTGTCACTGACTGCCACTCCCCCTCCGACAATGTTTTTCTAAGCTCACCAGGGCTCACTTACCCCAAAGCAATGCCTACTCCCTCCCTCTCTCTGTGCCTGCAGTAGGCTAGCCCCCCACCCCACATATCTCCCACATGTCCTCCTCAGCACTGATCTCCAGTCTGGAGTAAGATGGACTGGTGGGGTGGGTAAGACGGAGTAAGGCCATACATCACCCCTTTAAAGAGCATACAGCTGTTTCTTCTCGGCACGCAAGCAGCATGCCCTGGGCTTTAATGACCACTCAGGTATACAGCAGCACAACATCCTCCCACAACCCAACTGCCCTCAATCACACTCTGCTGCTACAACCACTGCTGGACCTGCTTTCACAACTAGCATGACTTTATCTAATGGGTTTATCAAATTCTAGTGGAGTGCGACTTAAAGGGATACTTCGGGATTTGGGCAATGAAGCCCTTTATCTACTTCCCCGGAGTTGGATGAACTCATGGATACCATTTTTATGTCTCTGTATCCAGTATGAAGGAAGTTAGAGGTAGTTTCGCAAGCAAATGCTAACTAGCATTAGCGCAATGACTGGAAGTCTATGGTATCTGCTTGCAATTGCGCTAACGCTAGTTATCAACTTCCTTCAAGCTGCATGCAGAGACATAAAAACGGTATCCACGGGTTCAGCTGACTCTGGGGAAGTAGATAAAGGGCCTCATTGCCAAAATCCCGAAGGATCCGTTTAAGCAATACTATGATGGTTATGGACTTTTCTCATCTGCACAGGGATTTGATCTCCACACAGTAGATGCCATACTGTACGGTTTTTAGTTGCGTAGCAATGGGGGAATGGTAGATTAACAGATTGTAAAGGTCACTGTCCTGGTTCCATTTAGGTGACCCCAAGGAAGAAGTTCAAGTGTCCTGAGTGCACAGCCATTGACGGTCTGTCCCTGGACCAGACACACATGGTAGAGAGGTAGGTCCTGCACTGAGCATGCTCATCACCTAGCAACTCTAGAAATTGTGTGTATATGCCAAATCAATATTCATAGAGGAAGTAGTGGATTTACAATATCTGGACGTGTTATTTTTCTGTGGTTGATTGCCTCAAATTGTTAACGCCGGTAACTTCTGTTCACTTCTCCAGATCGGAGTGCATCAACAAGTTTGCGTCGGTGTTTGGCACCATGCCCCTGAAGGTAGTGGAACACCGTGCAGACCCAGTCCTCTACAAGGACGACTTCCCAGAGAAGCTCAAGAGTTTCCCCAACATCGGCAGTCTCTGACCGGACAGGGTTGTGGCCCTACAACCCCCAGACACCCATACATACCCAGCATCTAGTTCAGGGGAGACATAAACTCTTATATCTCTGTTATATAGAACTATCTGGAAGGTTGTTGTTGATCTCTGTAGGGTGGTGTGGGGGTGGGAGCCTGTATTGTTACCTTTCCTAAAGACTGGTTTGTAGTGGCTGTAAGTCACTCTGGATAAGAGCGTCTGCTAAATGACGAAAATGTAAAATGTAGTGAAAGAGGTGAGAGGTTAGGGGTGTGTGCTCATTGGTTGACTGGACAGAATCCACTGCGCTGGAGATGAATCCACTGTGCGACTGAGAGATGACTAGGCTATGGCCACCATTACTACTGTATTAGAGCCAGAGGCCCCGTGGGCTCTTTGGCTGATCTGGGATCGGTGTATATAAATCACAGCAGTGCTAGATTTTAATGTAGCATGGTGAGTCAGGAACACTGTCTGCCAAGCACATGGGGGAGGGGGATGTGTAATATGTTAAAACCCCATAGAAATAATATATCCCATGTAATTTATCTGATGAATTTTTTTAATGATAAATACATGAAAAACAAGCTAATGTTAGAGGGTGCTTCTCGACAAAGATAATTTCATGGCATGAGCTATTTCATGTGGTTAGTGTGAGCACTGCAGAGGTGCATGGTCAGCTTTCTCTGCATAGAGGACATATTGCGAATAATATGTACACAATATATATTTAATGCCAATTGTTCTACTGCTAACACTTTTCAAAAGAATTACTGGTATCTGGACATTTTAATTACTTTTTTAAAGTGTTGTGCTGCATAATATCTAAACTATTGCAGTAACATCTAGTCTGGTATAGTAGTGAAGCTACTTTCATTGATGTGGTGACATTGGACTGTCTGCTTCATGGAGATGTCTCTTTTTGTTTTATCCTACTGTTAGAAGTCTGTGTAGGCTTGCTCATCTCCTAGCGTTTCAAGTTCAAGTCAGCACACACTTTTTAAGAAGTCAATATTGCCTTTGTTTTAGTTTTTTACATTCATAAGAATTGTTGTTTGTGATATGTGTCCCAAAATATATATATATAATTACTTTGTAAAGAAATTGACAAAATACATGCTAAATAAAGATAATGTTTTTCATAGCCATTTTATTGGCCTGTGATTAGGGAAAGGAACACTGGCACTGCCTCGCTCCAACCAAGGTGCATGAATTGAGGAGGAAACTGAAGTGAAGAGGAAATTCAGCTACTGGAGAACAGAGGAAGTTGAAAAAAGTGATGTCATCGGAAGTGTTCTAGATGTGGAAGACGATGTTGTATGCATGTTTACTGGAGTGTGTTTCTCAGTATGCACCGGCAGCAGTAGCAGGCCTCTGTCCGTCTCGCGCTCTACTCTGTCCTCCTCCATTCTGATTTGGTGAAAGCCCATGTCTGACCAGGGCAGTTGTGACAGCCAGGCCGTGTGCAGCACCACTGTTCAGCCTCACCGGTCACCTGTTGTTAATATACGCTCCCTAATCCACCCTGTACAATGTCAGTAGTTCAAAAGGGTGCTGTTAGTATTCTTGTCGACTTCAATTAGCGTGACATTCTTAGGGATTGTGCGATCTCATTTCAGCCCTCATCTAAAATACAGAGGGATTTTAGGCTGTCACTGCAAGTGACACAATCATGAAACACATATGAGGTAGCTGATATGTAATGAAAGAAGATGGACATGTTTCTTTTTTTTGTAACCCTCTAGATTTTTATTGATGCCTCACCCCTCCCGCCTAATTATATAAACATCAGTATAAACAGAACAACACCACAATCCAAAAAATCTCCACACGTTATTACGATTAGATGTTACCCATTGCTGCAGGACATTGTAAAAACAGCTACTCTTAATGAATCCTCAGTGTTGCCATCCTAAAAACATCCCATTCTTTAAACTTAGGACCTTTCCATGAGAGTAGGAATATGTCTGCAGTAGCATCATTCCCACCACACAACAGCATAGAAAAATGTACAAATATTGAGCGCTGACATTGACTAAATGTGTTTTATTGATTGTTTAAAGGTCCAATGCAGCTGTTATCGCGACAACTCATTTCTGGTTAACAATAGAGTACCTTACTGTGATTTCAATTAAAATGGTCAAAAAGAAGCAAAAATAGCTTCTTAGCAAAGCGCAATTTCTCAAGCAAGAATTTTGCTAGACTGTCTGGGAGTGGTCTGAGTGGGGAGGGGAGAACTGAACACTAACTGTTATTGGCAGAGTGTGTTGGAACTCTCTTAATTGTCTATTAACTAATTTTATGGCCTGGTGATGACACCAGGCAGGTCAAAACTCCCTCCAACCTAAACAGGCTGATATTTCAGGCGATCTTTTCAAACAGCTCTTACACTGAAAGGGCATTATCATTTTCACCATTTCACAGTATTATTCCAACCTCAGTGTGGAAATATATATATAATGTGTGTATATACAGAATATAGAAAACCAGGAAAATCACGTTTTTGACTGTACTGGACCTTTAAAGAATTTGGCGGGAACAATATGAAATCACTCATTGTGACAATTTAAGCTGCACTTCAATTATCCATTAAAAAAATTGTACTTTTTTTTGTGTGTGTGTTTCTTAAATAAGTATGTGATGAACAACAGTTTTGCTCTCAATGCTTGTAAAACAATTTTCTAAAATATGTAAGTGCAATAACTTACTGTACTATAGTAACTCACACAGAATATATATGAGAACATGAACACAACAAGTAAAAGTATACCATCATTATTTAAAAAGCCGTACAATATAGCTTAAAGCCTCAAAAACCTTTGGAAATATTTGGAAACTCAATAAACCAAGAACACCCACCTCCTTCAAAATAAATCACTCAAATAGCAACCCACAAGTATCTCACAAAGATAAAGCAATACTTTACATCAAATTTGTAACATTTCAAGGGTCTTTGTAAATTACTGTAAATCAGTCCAATTGACATTTACATGTTTTTACATGCACACACAACACACAGTTTTATATTATAATAAGTATTTACTTATTTTATTGCCCTGCTTCAGTAGTATTAGAAATTATAGGGGTGGTGTGAAAGGTGACATCATCACCGAGGGACAGACTGGGACCCCTGCAGGCTACAACAGGATGAGCTGATATACAAAGCCGTTTCGCAAATACTTAAATTCTGCATATCTGATCAGTTAAGGCCTTAAGGTCTAAGGCAAGCTGTGCCTCGATTGGGGTAGATGAGAAAGAGAATACAGTATTTACATATTAACCTGTAATTCATCCAAGAAGGCTTCATAAGGGATTGTACGTTTCTGCAGTCTGTAACACTGAGCTTTCGGTTTTGTCCTTTTCAATCAATAGAGAACTGCAGATAACAGAAAATGTCTATAAATAAAGAAATTAAAATGTTTGCAAAAACATGACGAAAACGGTAAACAAATCAACTCCGTGTCGACCTGAGCTTCATGTGTGTTTGAGCTCTGAGAAGCACCCAACCCAGCACTGTAAACCCCCCAGAGACAGCTATAGGCCAACCTGGAGCACAGGGCCACAGGCGGCTCTGTCTGTTCTGTCACAGAATCCCAGAAAGAATCCCTGTCCACAGATGTCCCAGTGTTAATTAAAAGGCTGCAGCCTGGCTATGCGGCTGTGTATGGCCTTAGTGCCGGAGGGGCCAGGCATTCGGCCAGAGGAGTGAGAGGGAGAGATACCCAGTGCAGTGTGGGGGCTTCTTTGAAAGCTGAGCCATGACAGCTGAGGCGAAGCATGTGCGAGGCATGTTTGTTTTGCATTTATCCCCTGAGCGCAGCTGTGTGCACTGTCCTTTTCCCAGAACACCGGAACGCCGCGGCCCGTTCGCACTCCTAGCAACCCCTTAGAACGGCCTATGAGAGCACAGGGGCCCCATCTCCAAATCTCAGAGGAGCACCTCCAAACACTGAGAGACAAGCCATGTTGTCAGCAGCATGTCCATGCATTAGGCTTGAACTGCCATGTAAAACTGGATCCAATCTGAGTCGTCATTTGGAAAGGGTTTCTGACCCACTGTTTCAAGACGCTGACAGTTCATCCTGGATCATACATAACACTATATCCTAGCAGAGCTACCTAGTGAAAGGGGAAATAATGTGGCTTATGTTAGGGAATTGCAGATGGATTCTCCTCTTATGGTGCAGGGGGTATCATATTTGGCTTCAAATCTATGAGACCTTTTGTTTTGACTTGATCCAAATGGGACCTTGGAAAAACAGAAAGCCCATAATGCATAACATGATGGAACACGTCTACTATTTCTGTCACCTCCGCAAATCGTGACATGGAGCCATCGAATGCACGGATGCCAGTTTTCCCCCCGCATTGTTCCATGTCCACACTGAGGCACAGGGACGGGGGATCCGGTTGTTGCCAGGGGGGCTATGAGGGGAGGGACGGGGGATCCGGTTGTTGCCAGGGGGGCTATGAGGGGAGGGACGGGGGATCCGGTTGTTGCCAGGGGGGCTATGAGGGGAGGGACGGGGGGGATCTGTTTGTTGCCGGGGGGGGCTAGGAGGGGAGGGACGGGGGGATTTGGTTGTTGCCGAGGGGGCTAGGAGGGGAGGGACGGGGGGGATCTGGTTGTTGCCAGGGGAGGGGAGGATGTGTTTGTTGCCAAAATTCAGCCTGCTCAACACAAGTCGTCATGCTAAAGCTGTCAGGAGGACAGCAGGCCGCGGAGAATGAGGAATTTATAACAACATATGTCTACTATCATTAGTAAAGTAATCATGTTGATGCAAACATAGCAATAACGTCTTGAGAACAGAATTAATTGCACTGGGTTGGCAGGGCAGATGTACATGGCTGCTAGATGCTTAGCTGTTTCACAGCTCTGTGCTAGAGTGCTATCCAGTCTTTTTCACAGCCTGCTGCTCTGACACCTCTCTCATGGGACACAGCCTCTCCACATCCTTTACACACCGTCAGGAAATTCAGCACTGAACTTACATGTGTCTCTAACAGCGTATGGCCATACATTGCATCTGGGACTGAGAGATGCATAAGAGTTTTGGAACAGAGTTTTGGAACAGAGTGGAGCTGCTAAGTGCCTGCTGATGGCGCTCTCCAAGAGGAAAATAAACAGTGAGTGAGAGATGGAATAAAGTTGTACAGTACACGTTCCCCCAAGTCCATCATGACCTGCAGCCAATTCACAGCCCTCCTTTGCCTCAACAAACTGTTTCACACGGATTCACTTCACAAGTCTCCTCCAAGTGGAAAGAAACCTGGGGTTCCTGGTATAAAACTGACCGACGGCTTATTTTGTGTGGAGAGAAAGTAATACTTCTAACAAAAGCACGAAAGGTTCTCCTCTGAGAATACCATCCCACTATAGACCTGTCAGCTCAGCTGACAGTCAAAGTGAGGCTTTGCATGAAAAGAGACAGTGGTCAACATTGACATCCTTAGTCAGCATCTTATTATCCCCCTCAGAAACTGTCTGTATAATCTACACTGCCTCTCTGCTGTTCAAGGCTGCCGCTGGGTGTTATTTCTGGCAATGGGACTGGAGGGCACTTTTCCTGTAACTCCCTAGGTGGAAATGCGAGGTGAGGAAATGCCAAGGGAGGAAATGGCATGTCCACTTTGAATCTCCTCCTGCAAACAGAGCTGAGCCTGTCTGACGCTCCCAGGCCCTGTAGCCCCAGACCCAGCAGGCCTGCTGTGCCCCTCTCTCACACTCACACACACACACCACTTCCTTGTCCCCGTCCCATTTAAATGTTGGAAGGTGGCACCAACCTAAAGTATGCTAGTGCTGACCATGCAAACCAGAAACAGTTAGCTACCTTTGAAATGGTTTACCTCTTTCCGAAACTGAAGAATATGACTGATTTTACCAGCATTCTTTCAGTTAGTCTGACAGAGGTGGATCGGCTTTGGGCTTGACCGTTACCTACACCCCTCTCCTTGAAGTAATGCTGACCAAAATGACCTAAGGAAACCCAAATGTACACACAGACCCAAATCAGGCCAAATGTATGTAAATATGTGAATATCAGTTTGCAGTTTATGTGGAGAGAATAGTTGCATTTGCAAACGGTCTGACAGAAAGGGACGAGGGATTCTGTGATAAAACCAGGATCAAAAAGAATTTTAAAAATACACACTTAAAATTTAAATACCGGAAAACAAGAAAGTATAACAACACCTGAACAGAAAAAGCTATATTGACACTCAATAGCAGGTGTGTTAGCGGTCGCATCTCAAGATCTGTACAAACAGCATTACCTGTATTAACTGAATAAGTGCAGGGATTGGTTCAAATCTATTCAGCTATTTTTGTTCTTTTTGTTGTATTTTAGTTTATAATTACTGTACAACCAGCACATTGTTTCCAACAAGCAACCAATTCATTTGTCTCTTGAAGGATTCTCGATTTCCTGCCTCTCACCTCATGCTTTGACTAACTGATTGACTGACTGACTGTTGTTCATCTCTGATGTCCACTGGTCTCTCCCATCAGAGACACAAAGTAAAGAAGTCCATTGTCCAGATCTCCTTTCTCTCCTCTTCAGCAATTTGCTATGGCTTTTATCATCATTAGTATTTTAGATTATCAATATTTCTGTTATAGTAGCACAGACTGCCTCCCCTCTCTGCTTTGGCTTGGTTTGGACGTGGTGGGGTTCCCAGAGGCCCGTCCTGCTGCTGTTGAGGCATCATGTTGCCCAGGAGATGGCTGCACTGTGCTCCTTGGCCTTCATGCGCAAGGCGGCGATGCTGGAGGACTTGCGGTCCGGGTCCATGCTGTTCAAATCGTACCCGTTGATCCCTGACCCCATGCCAGGACCCCCAAACAGGCTGCCCATGTGCGTCTGTCCCATGTGACCCCCAGGGTTCGGGACGCCCAGGAAGTCAGATACGCCGCTGCCGGAGTGAGGGTGAGGGGTCATACAGGACGTGACTGTGTCACAGGGCACTACGCAGCCTGGTACAGGAGACGCTCCGCTGCCGCCACCAATCCATGATGGGTTCTGGATCTGAAACGCAAAGAGAGGACAGGGTCACTTTAAATACCAAAACTATGTGGGTGAGTCAGTGCTTAGTTTTTTCAGACACCCTCTGTGGACTGAATATAATTATAAAGTAGGCCTATTGCAGAATGAAGGATGTGTGATGTGTGTGTGACAGTCCTGTTTACAAACAAAAGCACCAACCTAGGATACTCATGCAATACAGCACAAGTTGCACAATTATTTAAGGTCATGTTTAGCTTCTGCAGTAAAGTTCATCATTCGACATCGCTCACTCCCCAAAAAAGTATTATCTTGAGCACCAGTCTCCACGTGTCTCTTCCTCGGTATAGCACCCGGCGCGCACAATGGCCTAAAGACGAGGTAGACCTTTTATCGTAAAACGCTTTACAAATAGGCTAAGAAGATCAAGAAGCCTACGATACTCACCATGGTCTGTCAAATCGACTTGAATGATTAATTAACCTATCAACTCTGTGGAGCAACGTTCACATCATAGTCTACTTATCCATAGCCCAATATTTTAATGTTGAAAACCCTATTGTAGTGTTGCTGCAGGTAGATACATAAGTTGAAGGGAAAGACATTTCCCTCCTACCTCAGTCCTTCAACACCTTGCCTGTGTCACGCTCTGGCTCCGGGACTTTGTATGTTGAGCCAGGGTGTGTTCGTTTCGTTGTGTTCTGTTTGGTTGGGTTGTTCTATGTGGTTGTATTTCTTTGTTTGGATGAGTGACTCCCAATCAGAGGTAACGAGTGTCAGCTGTTTGGCTCGTTGTCTCTGATTGGGAGCCATATTTAATATGTCTGTTTTCACCTTGTGTTTGTGGGTTTTTGTTCCTTGTCAGTCATTGTCTGAGGACGTTACGTATCGTTTATTGTTTTGTATTCGTGTTTGCACTTTACTATTAAAGTATGTTCGCTCAACACGCTGCGCCTTGGTCCTCCTCATTAGACGATCGTGACAGAAAAACCCACCTTAACCAGATCAAGCAGCGTGACGAGGAGAGAGGATGGACGTGGGAGGAGATGATTGCGAGTCTGGCAAGAGGGAGAGAGGCCTGGGCCACGGGGAGGAGAGACCCCCAGGAAATTTTTAGGGGGGGGCTCACGACGTCGGGGCAGCAGGTGTACGGGTTAGAGCGGTGCAAAGCGTTGGCAGAGAAGGCCGCCAGGTTAGGGGGGCTACTGGGCACAGAGGAGAGGGAAAGTGTGGAGGCACGGCGAGAGGTACTGGGGTGTGTTACCAGTCCGGTCCGGCCCGTTCCTGATCCCTGCGTGGGGCCAGTGGTGTGTGTCCCCAGTACGGTCCGGCCTGTTCCTGCCATTCCCACCAAGGCAGTGGTGCGCGTCGTCAGCCCAGCCCGGCCTGTTCCTGCCATTCCCACCAAGTCTGTGGTGTGCGTCGACAGCCCGGCCCGGCCTGTTCCTGCCATTCCCACCAAGTCAGTGGTGCGCGTCGTCAGCCCAGCCCGGCCTGTTCCTGCCATTCCCACCAAGTCAGTGGTGCACGTCGTCAGCCCAGCCCGGCCGGTTCCTGCCATTCCCACCAAGTCAGTGGTGTGCGTCGACAGCCCAGCCCGGCCTGTCCCTGCTCCACGCACCAAGCCTACGAGGTGCGTCGCCAGTCCAGCCCGGCCTGTCCCTGCTCCACGCACAAAGCCTACGGTGTGCGTCGCCAGCCCAGCCCGGCCTGTTCCTGCTCCACGCACAAAGCCTACGGTGTGCGTCGCCAGCCCAGCCCGGCCTGTCCCTGCTCCACGCACAAAGCCTACGGTGTGCGTCGCCAGCCCGACCCGGCCTGTTCCTGCCACTCGCACCAAACCAGGGGTGCGAGTCGCCAGCCTGGTCCAACCCGTTCCTGCTACTCGCACCAAGCCAGGGGTGCGAGGCGTCAGCCTGGTCCAGCCCGTTCCTGCTACTCGCACCAAACCAGGGATGCGAGTCGTCAGCCTGGTCCAGCTCGTTCCTGCTACTCGCACCAAACCAGGGAATGGAGTCGTCAGTCCGGTGAGGCCCGTTCCTGTTCCACGCACCAAGCCAGGGGCGCGTGTCGTCAGTCCGGCTCCGACCAGCGGGGCTAGACAGGACCAGGGGTACTTTGGGGGGTTGGAGAGGAGGTGGGGATCAGGGCCGGAGCCAGAACCACCGCCGAGGAGGTATGCCCACCCAGCCCTCCCTTGTTTAGCCCTTATTGAGGCGCGGTCGCAGTCCGCGCCTTTAGGGGGGGGGTACTGTCACGCTCTGGCTCCGGGACTTTGTATGTTGAGCCAGGGTGTGTTCGTTTCGTTGTGTTCTGTTTGGTTGGGTTGTTCTATGTGGTTGTATTTCTTTGTTTGGATGAGTGACTCCCAATCAGAGGTAACGAGTGTCAGCTGTTTGGCTCGTTGTCTCTGATTGGGAGCCATATTTAATATGTCTGTTTTCACCTTGTGTTTGTGGGTTTTTGTTCCTTGTCAGTCATTGTCTGAGGACGTTACGTATCGTTTATTGTTTTGTATTCGTGTTTGCACTTTACTATTAAAGTATGTTCGCTCAACACGCTGCGCCTTGGTCCTCTCTAACCAACGATCGTGACAGCCTGGCTGTTTTAGTAATCTCCATGCTTCCTGTCACCCTCCTCCACAGACGGAGAGAGAGATGCGGTGGTCAGGGAGCTGATAGGGATGTGGGTGTGGGGGTGGGGGTGTTTGAGATGGGGGCCGGGGTAGTGGTGCTGGATACTCGCATGGAGTGGCCAGATGTGCACAGAGCTGCATTCCACAGCATCACACACACACACACACACACACACACACACACACACACACACACACACACACCTGCCCTCTGACCCTCTGTGCAGATGAATAATAAATGGAGGGTTCTCTGGGTCTATGTGAGGGTGTGTCTGGCCTGTCACTGGAGCCAGGCTGACCTCACTCTCTGGGGGGCAGACAGAGAGAGGAGAGAACAGGAAGAGGAGCTGCCTCATCTGGGCTTGCTGATCTGTCATTGCATCACAGAGAAAGGCCTCCCCCTCAGCTTGAACTGCTCTCTCAAATCCTTTGTCTGTAACACCCATAAGATGTAAGTAACCCCACTCTGCTCCTCCAAGGCCTCCACCATGATAGCTGATGGGTGATGAGCATTCTGGCACAAATGGTTGCTGTGTTTCATCCAAACTTAAACAAAATGTAAGCATTTTGTTTGAGCATTTGAAAAAAACGCTATATAAATACGTTCAATTACTGTATTATTTATTATTATTTTTACCTGTGCATAGTTCTCAGGTCTGGCTAGAAGAGGCAGCTCGTACGCTGTGGAGAAGTGTGTCCTGACTTGCTGCATCTGACCAAAGCGCTCCCTCTTCCTCCATTTGGCTCGGCGATTCTGGAACCACACCTGCTGGGCAAAGGTCAGGACTGAGTCACATAGTCACATAGGATCCATAGATACCTATAGTTACATTTTTAGAGCATAGTTCAAAGAAGAAGATAGTCATACATGTTTTCCCTGAACATCCAATAGAACTCAAATAATATGTAGGCCTACAGTACAATATACATAGCACATAACTTGCACAAACACTGTTGTGATTATAATTGTGGCGCTGCTCCGTGTCTTTGAGCTGTAAGGGGAGGAAAGAGACTGCCATGTGTCTCTTAGGCCTGGGGCTCAGTGTGTCAGTGAGGCTGGGTGAACTGTGGGTAAACACTGTACAGCAGCGTGGTCAGGCACCTGAGAAACAGTCCAGGAACCTCCAGGGTTGGCCTCACAGGGCGCTCATAGAGAAGGGGAATCTCTCTGCCCCTCAGCCCTGGGCCTTGGCCCGTGTGCATAGCTTATTTTTCACAGTCTCCCTCTCTCAGAGAAAGCAGAGACCTGGCTGGAGTTTGACGTCTGGGGGAGTTGACAGGCCATGTGAAGGCCTCCTCTGAGTTCCCCTCCTATCAGCGCCATCAGCAGCAGGAGGCAGGAGGTTGGAGGTGGAGATGTGGAGGGGAGATGGGGGAGTGGGGGAGTCAGTGGGGGCCGGGGCGGAGTTAGTACTGGACCAGTAATCCTGAAGCTTTAAACTATAACTTTCCACCACATCTCAGGAGAATGCCTTTCTGATAGATGCAAATAACACTATTCTTTTCTCTATGGAAAAAGGGTTCTGAGGATCACAGCCAAACGACTGTGCTATCTGCACAGACATCAATGTGCCGAAACTCTTAGTGGAAAAAAGTGAAAGTATGCGCTGCTCTGTAGATAAAGCAAGCTATTCTTAAGCTTAAAGTCTCAAAAGCAGCCAGAAATTCCTTTCCCTGTGATCCCTCTTCCTCTCAGATTAACTCCATCTATTTATTGATTCGCGAAGTGGAGGCCTATTCAAAGGGAGCGCCTCCTTTGTTTTGCAATCTTGATTTGTCACAGAGTTTGAACTTGGTTCTGAGGATGAGCCTTTGGTCAATTAGTTTGTGGTTTACACAGCAACTGACGTGCAATTTTCCCTTTCCGTCAACCAAGTACACACACACGTGTGTACGCACACACACACACATACACACACACACACACACGCACACACACACATACACACATACACAGACTTTTGGAGGTATAATTAAAAAGAGGGTGAAGTAATAAATCCGTTGGTCTGATTCCCTGGGCGGGGTGTGCAATCAGAGAGGAGAAGAGAGGAGAAAGGAAGGATTACTAGGCCTCTAATACAGACAATGTGGAGAGGAGGTTTTCACTTGAGTACTCAAAACAAAACGTTTACAGACTCTTCCCTCCGTTCCTTTGTCTTCTGACAGGAACAGGCCAATTTTCTCATAACAAAAGTGTGCTGTAATTACCTTTGACATCTGAGCCTAAAACGGTTGTTTATTGAAAGCATTATTGTGTTTAAATTTCCATCAAAGCTGGTGAAAGTGATCTAAATAGAGTCAGTCTCAGATGGGCTTAGGCCTGGCGCCCTCCCCCACACAACGTCATAGGGCCTATCTCAGAGCTGGGTAACCTGATATCAGCCTGACTGTGATTGCACTTAATGTCAAGGCACAGAGCACAGAGAGCACTGTCCCTAAGCTTCACATCGTCTGTTTAGAAAGCTTTACTCACTGATTACACTGATACAGGGAATACATGGGCAGTATATGGTATCAGAACATTTTTGTGAGAGAGAACAAAAGTAGCACATTTCCCCCCCTTTTTCTTTCTGCCCCCCTGACATTATTTCTATCTCTCCTCTGTCATTTATTTATTTATTTATTTATTTCACTCACTCACACTCTTCCTCCCTCTATAAATCGGAGTAGGGAATTTGGGAAATTGAAAAGTGACATGGGAGAATGTTCAAACCAGAGCTTGTTTTCATTTTCTGTTTAATTTCCTGACCCCTAAACCCCTGGCTTTCCGATGCTCCCCCCTCCAACCCAGAGGAGCCACCCAGACAAGACGCTCCCTCCTCACCTCTCCTCTCCTCTCACTGCTGTCATCTGTCTCTTTCCTTCTCTCTCTGTCTTCATGTCTTTCTTTCAACAGTCTCACACAACCCAAATACTCACTAGCTTCTATTGCCAATGAAGCCCCTCATCAACTACAATTATAAATGATGTGGAGAACAGATTGTAAAGAGTACGCTATGATAGTTGGATGGACTCACTCCTTGGTTCACATGCACCTTCTCCCTTTGTGTCTTTTGACAGTGACCCACCAGTAGAGCTGTTGATCATGTTGGGACAGTGAGTATCTATCTACCAACAGATACTGTTTGTTTGTGCTTTCTGTCCGACTTCTCCCTAGACAGGTTCTGTTCCACAGAGCTAAGTGTTTGTGTGTGCACACTGGGTAGTGACAGTAATTGGTAAAGACGTTGACAGCTAAAGTAGCTTAGAGACTTACTATGAGGCTTTAGTTATGTTCCAGCACAGAGAGAAAGAACACAGAAATGCCAAACTGTCCTGGCAGGGAAGCTGCATGGGGATACAGCCACTTTGAAGTCAGAGACCCGCTTTGAGGATTGATAATCTGCCACTGCTGTTTCCATACTATAGCACGGCCCAAATGGACCTGCAAATAGTACACAATGGGGGGTATACAATGACTAAGTATTTCTACCTTGTATAGTTACCCAGCTGAATGAGCACAACATCTAATATCTAATATCATATTTACATGATTTGTTATTATGCTTTCTGATGGGTTGCTGTCCTGTTTTATATGAACTAAGGTCTGTAGTTTGGTCCTTAACTCATATTGGCATTTCATTTAGCCTTATATACTCCATGTCAAACAACGTCCAGCAGCCTCAGAGCTGTGGACTGACAGCAAGGTAGTCTGAGAGACGTGATGTTATTGAAACCCTTGACCTGTGACCTGTAGATGTATCTGGAGTGCATATGACTCAGAGCTCAACCGACTTCCTCCCTTTGAAACCAGTAGACAGAAAAAACAAACATTTCTCTGGCTAACGTTTATAGTCAGGCAAGTTTACAAGCTCCTCTTGTTCAGTCTCGTTAAGTGGACTAAAGAGAGGGTATTTCAGTTACAATCTGAAAAACACTGCCTTGACCAGGAAGTATTTGTTTGGAAATCTATTGACAACCACAAAACTGAAATCTCAGTGGAATTCCAATCGACCAAAACGTACAGTACTATGAGCTTTATAGCAGGACAAATTCTTGTGGATTTAGTTGAACAGTTTGTCCACTTTAGATGCAGAATTCATGAGGTGTGAAGCTCCTTTTTTCTGAGTAAAGTTATTTGACTGATGAGGCATCTTGTGTCTTTTATCTTTTAACTTGAATGGTTTAAGAGGGCCAGTGGGAGAGCTTAGGCTGTAAAGGGCCCAGCTGAACCAGCCCTCTTATAGCTAGAGGAATAGCATACCTTCAGAGAGAGAGAGAGAGAGTGGGGGGGGGCTCTAGGCTGAATTACAACCCTCTGGCTTCAGGGACTTCCTGTGTTTCACTGTGAGGGGTTTCTTGCCACTGCGCCAGCACATGTCATATAAAGACCCGATCCAGCCTGATCTCATCCCTCAGACTCTTTCACAGAGCACTTGCTCTCTTTACTTTCACATGACGTTTGTATTTACAGATATTGGTGTCAGTGTTGTACTGTATATTCTGGCATGTTTCCTATGGATTAGTGCATGATGGTTGCTGCGAACCTCACAACTTACCAGAGGCTCAGGGGAAGGTTTTCACACCTACCCACGAGACCATGGGAGGGACACATTCTTTCCTGAACAGGATGTTAATGAAAGAAAAACACAATGAATCCAAGGGCTTTTGGTAGACTTTGTGTGTGTGTGTGTGTCTGTATCTGTGCTCCGAGCGAGGGGGGTCTCATCAGCTATCCACCAATGCTGGAATGCGGCAGTAGTCATGGACGGATTATATGTAAATCAAAGGGGAAGGTCACAGGAAGGTTGTATGTTTGTAGCCCCAGACCTGGTTAGCCACTTGCAGTACTCAGTTCAGAAGTCCAGGGGTTCAGGTGCAGGCTAGGTTGTGGAGCTGAGCAGAACCAAGCATGTCTCCTCATATGTGGATGAAGGTCTGCTCCCTTGACAGTGAACATATGAGGCCCAGCTCCAGCCTCAGCCCCTGGGGGCCCCCTGCCCTGCGTTGGCCACTACTCCCCTACTCCCACATTACCAGATAACTCTCACTCTCACCCTGGTGGCTTGGTGACGTTATCTCTCCAAAGCCACAGATGTTGAGGGATTAATGTGGTTCTATCCACAGTCTCCTAATCATTAGCTGTGTCCGGTTTTTGTTAAAGTCCTCTCAATAACATACAGCCGCCATCTGATTCGAGATAGCATTGGTCATTGTTCTTGTTTGGCTAGTCGTGGCCTAAAGGAAAGGATGCTCAAGTTTAGAACTCTACCAATTGTTCTTCTGTGTATAATGGTGATCATCACTGTTATTGATGTGTAATGAAAGTGATACTGCTAGACTGAAGTCACAGATCTTCACAGAACCTGAGTAAGTAGTGGTTAGCAGTAGAGTTCCGCTCAGGTGAACCAGTCTTACCTGTACACGGGCTTCAGTCAGGTCAGTCCTGAGGGCCAGTTGCTCGCGGGCGTACACATCAGGGTAGTGGGTCTTCTGGAAGACCTTCTCCAGCTCCTCCAGTTGGTAGCTGGTGAACGTGGTGCGGTTACGCCTCTTCTTGCCCTTGTTGCTCTCACCCTCGCCCTTGTCCATGGGGCTGGCCATGTCCGAGCCCGGTCGGTCCGACGGGCCCTTCACGCCTTGATCCTTCACACTCAGGTAGCTGCCGTCCATCCCAGAGGGGTCAGAGTTCGGGGTCAGGTCAGAGTCTGTCAGTCCTGAGCTATCTTTACCTGGAGAAAGGATGAGAGAAGTAAGGTGTTAGAACACATTATATCTAGCACTGTGCTGAATAATTATGGATTTGGTTATCATTGACATCATATGTGTTGGGACTGACGTGCAACAGAAAACTAATTTAGACTGTGTTTACAGTATTATGTAGCACAAGCACAAGGACCAAATGACTCTTGCACCATGTTGTTCTTTGAAAGCTTCCTGGTCAGTTAGTTCCAGGTCTGGACTCTGGTTCAGGGTGTGGTTAGGAGTGTGTGTATAAGCTGTGTGACTCCCAGAACACTCCTTCCATACTGCTGCTCATAAATCATGGAAACAGACACCCTGGCAGGCAGTAATTGCAGACTAATAGAAAATTACAGGTTTTCACATTTCTCTCTCTCTCTCAGTATGGTTGGGGTTGGAGTCAGGTCTTACGCTGGGGGAACTCAGGTCTTCAACGCAGGCGTGGGCTGGGCGTGGTCTGTGGTGCGGTTGCAAGCTGAAGCTCACTTAGTAACACAACCAAACTAACCCGGCAACAAGAGTGTCAGTGGCAATCTGCTGGACGGTAATTTGTAGCGATGGGAAACACACACAGCAGCCTAGCCGTGAAACCTCAGTCAGCCTACTGATCATAAATTCCCATGATGCTGTCTGTGCCAGTGTGCCGTCTCATTCATTATTCCACTACATCGCCAATCCTCTGTGCCCTTACTGCCCTCCCTGCCTGTGGATCATTAAACTCTCTCCATTACGGCTTCTATTAAGGGGTCTGTTTGGGGTCCTGGGAAGGCAATGTGTTGTCATACTCACTCAAATGAACTGCAAACCCTCCCCCTTTGGCTCTAGGGTGTTCAAGGGGGTATAGAATATTGTTTGGGGTCCAAGCCAAACCTGACATCTGCCTCTCAACCCCTCTGCTTGGTGATGTCCCCTCTGGCTCAGTCTAGTGGTGAGTCCAAGCACTACGCTCCCCTCTGTTTAGCTTAGCTCTAAGAGACAGGGAGTTATTTTAGGGAGCCCAGGGTTGGGACGTGCTCATTTCTTATCTGAGGCTGGGGTAAAGCCTTGTCAAGTTAGAGCCATGGGGTGTAGGTGTGCATGTGAGCTTCTGGTGTGCATACTGCTCTCAACACAGCAGGGCAGCATGCCCTCTGGCCCTCCACACAGAGCCTTGTTGGGTAATGTGCTGCAAGGTGAGGGGACCTGATAGCTCATCTGATGATACACACACCCCCGGTCCCCCGCCCTACACACACATCTTTCAAGGACTTGGGTAAAGGGAGCTGGGTAACCATGCGAACGCTAAACCGCATAACAGTCAATGACACCATCAGAAATACAAGCCTTGTGTTGTAGGATTTGTTTACTGCAGGGGCCACACTTAGGGAAAGCCCCACTTCCTACCATAGCACTGTAATTAAGTTGTTCACTTATACCAATCAATGTTGCACTGTTACAGTGGGGGGAAAAAGTATTTAGTCAGCCACCAATTGTGCAAGTTCTCCCACTTAAAAAGATGAGAGAGGCCTGTAATTTTCATCATAGGTACACATCAACTATGACAAACAAATTGAGAAGAAAAAAATCCAGAAAATCACATTGTAGGATTTTTAATGAATTTATTTGCAAATTATGGTGGAAAATAAGTATTTGGTCAATAACAAAAGTTTCTCAATACTTTGTTATATACCCTTTGTTGGCAATGACACAGGTCAAACGTTTTCTGTAAGTCTTCACAAGGTTTTCACACACTGTTGCTGGTATTTTGGCCCATTCCTCCATGCAGATCTCCTCTAGAGCAGTGATGTTTTGGGGCTGTGGCTGGGCAACACGGACTTTCAACTCCCTCCAAAGATTTTCTATGGGGTTGAGATCTGGAGACTGGCTAGGCCACTCCAGGACCTTGAAATGCTTCTTACGAAGCCACTCCTTCGTTGCCCGGGCAGTGTGTTTGGGATCATTGTCATGCTGAAAGACCCAGCCACGTTTCATCTTCAATGCCCTTGCTGATGGAAGGAGGTTTTCACTCAAAATCTCACGATACATGGCCCCATTCATTCTTTCCTTTACACGGATCAGTCGTCCTGGTCCCTTTGCAGAAAAACAGCCCCAGAAATTCCAGAAAATCACATTGTAGGATTCTTAATGAATTTATTTGCAAATTATGGTGGAAAATAAGTATTTGGTCACCTACAAACAAGCAAGATTTCTGGTTCTCACAGACCTGTAACTTCTTCTTTAAGAGGCTCCTCTGTCCTCCACTCGTTACCTGTATTAATGGCACCTGTTTGAACTTGTTATCAGTATAAAAGACACCTGTCCACAACCTCAAACAGTCACACTCCAAACTCCACTATGGCCAAGACCAAAGAGCTGTCAAAGGACACCAGAAACAAAATTGCAGACCTGCACCAGGCTGGGAAGACTGAATCTGCAATAGGTAAGCAGCTTGGTTTTAAGAAATCAACTGTGGGAGCAATTATTAGGAAATGGAAGACATACAAGACCACTGATAATCTCCCTCGATCTGGGGCTCCACACAAGATCTCACCCCGTGGGGTCAAAATGATCACAAGAACGGTGAGCAAAAATCCCAGAACCACACGGGGGGACCTAGTGAATGACCTGCAGAGAGCTGGGACCAAAGTAACAAAGCCTACCATCAGTAACACACTACGCCACCAGGGACTCAAATCCTGCAGTGCCAGACGTGTCCCCCTGCTTAAGCCAGTACATGTCCAGGCCCATCTGAAGTTTGCTAGAGTGCATTTGGATGATCCAGAAGAGGATTGGGAGAATGTCATATGGTCAGATGAAACCAAAATAGAACTTTTTGGTAAAAACTCAACTCGTCGTGTTTGGAGGACAAAGAATGCTGAGTTGCATCCAAAGAACACCATACCTACTGTGAAGCATGGGGTGGAAACATCATGCTTTGGGGCTGTTTTTCTGCAAAGGGACCAGGACGACTGATCCGTGTAAAGGAAAGAATGAATGGGGCCATGTATCGTGAGATTTTGAGTGAAAACCTCCTTCCATCAGCAAGGGCATTGAAGATGAAACGTGGCTGGGTCTTTCAGCATGACAATGATCCCAAACACACTGCCCGGGCAACGAAGGAGTGGCTTCGTAAGAAGCATTTCAAGGTCCTGGAGTGGCCTAGCCAGTCTCCAGATCTCAACCCCATAGAAAATCTTTGGAGGGAGTTGAAAGTCTGTGTTGACCAGCGACAGCCCCAAAACATCACTGCTCTAGAGGAGATCTGCATGGAGGAATGGGCCAAAATACCAGCAACAGTGTGTGAAAACCTTGTGAAGACTTACAGAAAACGTTTGACCTGTGTCATTGCCAACAAAGGGTATATAACAAAGTATTGAGAAACTTTTGTTATTGACCAAATACTTATTTTCCACCATAATTTGCAAATAAATTCATTAAAAATCCTACAATGTGATTTTCTGGATTTTTTTTCTCAATTTGTCTGTCATAGTTGACGTGTACCTATGATGAAAATTACAGGCCTCTCTCATCTTTTTAAGTGGGAGAACTTGCACAATTGGTGGCTGACTAAATACTTTTTTTCCCCACTGTATGTTTCACCCGTCTGATTCTCAAAACCTCCAACTACTGTAAGTTAAAGCTTTTCCCTCAGAGTTGGCTATGAGGAAAAAGATTACTCCTGTTGTTGGTAATTAATCGTGAGGGTCTGATTTGAGCCGTCTCAGCAGCACGCTCACTCTCTCTGGCTGTGTCAGTTTGCCTTCCCTGGGCTGCTGCCGAGCACCCTGGCCACTGTGGACTGTCAGGCAGGCAGACAGCATCGACCGGGGCCCGGGCCCTGGCCAGGGGTATAATGGCTCCCACATTGCCTGCTGCCTGCCCAGGACTGACACATCCTGTTAAGCCTGAGAGGAGCGACCTCAACGCATTTACCAAAACGTAAATCATTTCTAGTTATTCCCTCATATGCCCTGCACCGATGGTCCCAACAAGGCAAGGCTGTCAGGCTGTTTGAAATCAAAGGCTCTCTGCTGATCAAAGACTCTTGTTTATGCCCTGTGTCATTGATGGTTTTTGTTGTGACAATCTCCCACTTGTTATCCGTGCGGTGGGTCGTGGCTGAGAGGCGAGACATACTCCACTGCCCAAGGTCAACAGCAGTGGGACCTCCCGGGGGCTGGGCTATATGGATGAGGAACATGAGAAAGTCTTACTGCAAATCATGTCTGTCAGGATACCCATGCAGTGGAGGGAGCCCTGAGTGAACTTAGCCATTAAAGGCTAATGTTGAATTGTTTCTTCCTGTTAACAGAGTTGGGTTAGTAAAAGACGGGTAGAAGGAGATATGCCTGTAGAGAGAAGCCCACTGAGAGTAATTGGCATGGAGAGGTCCATCTGAAATAGCAGAGGTAATATTTTCTCCACCTCTCCTATGGAAGTAAAGAGCTTATCAGTCATCACTAAATGCAGTATCATGATCACTGATGGGGGAGGCAGACATTTCCTTTTAGCATCATGGTGGATTTTCCTGAAGATAACTAATCCTCAGACACTTTCACCTTAGCTGATTGGATTACACAATCATATTTGGGCTTAGTGAAAGTATGATATGTTATATACTATATCAAGCAAAGACACTTCTGTCTCTATGCCAGGATATATTCTGACATGCTGCTGTAATTTATCAGTGGTTACAGTTAACCCCCCTCTCATTTTCACCTTTCACCTTTTATACAGATCTAGATCTCAGCATCCCTTATACAACACTTGGAAGCAAGCAGACAATAAACTCCTCAGTCCCTTCCACTAAAACCTCATAGCATGCGTGTTTCCCATTTAGAGGAATCTGCTCTACAACAGTGTTTTGAAACGCAACCACTGATTTTTTTCATTTTTACTTTGGATCCAAGATTCCACATCAGTTTCCAATTACAACTCTCTGACGGAGAGAGGCAAGTCTGGAGCCCATTGTTCTTTGTCTTCCCCAACCCTGTTAGGGATCTGACATACCAAGTCTACAGTGACTGTACTACTGCTGTGATCTAAAATTGAAATAGCTTCCCTGTTCCTTTCCAGTTGTATAACTGCTGTCTAATGCTATTTGTATGTTTGATTAAAGTTAGAAATAATGAGATGTGATACAAAACTGTTGCTGTGTTGAAGTACAAGGTAGTTCAGAACTGAAATCTTAATATTATTCTTTACAATGTCAAGGAAACAGAATACTCTACAAAATCAGTCCAGATCTGACCAAGCTGAAACCAAGAGGGTCTGAAAGGAGAGTTCATCAGTGGGTGAGAGAGAAGAGGGGTGAGGTTAAATCAGAGAACTAATTGGCAGTTTAACCTTAAGAGTATTCACACCTGCCTGCAGAGCAACACAGGGTCTTGTAAACCCCTTTTAATAGCGTCTACATTTCCCCATAGAAAATGTCTTCAAACGTAATTTTATATTTTGCACTGTAAGTCATTAAAAAAGATGTGTCCACAGAAAATGTCAAAATTAGAAAAAAAATGGTCATGTTAGAGTAATAAATATGATCATCATAGCAGCTATGCTATGAGGGGTAAATGACAATAGTCCCTGCCCTTGGATATCAGTGCTGGACCCCTTAAAGTTAGCAAGGGTCAGAACTTCACTGGGGACAGACGCTAAGTTGCTGTCGAAAACGAGAGGGGAACATCAAAGTGTAATTTAACTGGCAGTAAAGCGACAGGACGCCTCCCCAGCCTCTTTATTGAATAGAATGGCTAGGGTCAGCTCACAGCATTTAAAAGAAACACTATAAATTAGACACCCTGCGGTGACCGAGAGCGATTAATGGCAGAATATTCCCAAACCCGAAAGAATATCCCAAAATATTAGAAAACATAAATAAAAGAGATTAAGTGTGTGTAGTCTAGGCTTGATAGATCCCTGTTTTGACTGGACCCAGGGAGCAGAGGAAATTTGTGTAAGCTGTTTTCTCTGCTAAGCATTTATTTGTAACTCAAATTTGGTTTGTTTTCCCTTCTTAGAATATGGATTGAATCGTAATGGGAGGCTTTGTGCTCTGAAGTCCCGCCAACTCTGTGAAGTCCTCTCTTCCTGCCCGTTCTGCTGGCTGTGAGGCTGTTACATAAAGACAGAGACACTAACTAACACAGGTAGTGGATGGAGAGACTGACTGGTGTGTTGAGATGTAAACTTTGTCATGCCTACATCATGACAAATGA